AATTTGCGAGGTATTTGATCCTTTAACATCACATCACCCAGGATTCGATATCAAGCTAGAGAAATGCCTATAAAGGTAAAATTGGTCCCGTATTTCCCCTAGAAATCAAGTCTGGAGATGAGGAGGAATCAAATGGGCTAAATACTTCAAGAGTCTGCTGATTCTGTTAATATCATCACGTTTTGGAGAACCTGGCACTTTCTTCCTCTCCAGAGAGCAGACACCCTTCCCAACACAGTCCTGCTCCCTGCACCCAGTCCCCCAGGACTGTCTGAAATGGGATGCCCAGGCAGAGCATCTTCATGGTGCTCAGGATCTCATTGGCTTGGCTGAGGAGCTCCAAGTGTGCAGGAGAGGGCTAGGAAAGAGAAAACCACAAAGTTTGGTGGCTGTGACGGACTCAATGTGTAAAGTAACTGTGGTGCCAGTGATAAAAGCCTTGCAGGAGTGCAAAAGCACTCCAGGCATTTGGGGCTGCTGTGTCCACCCACAGGCCCCATTCCACCAGTTCAGGTGGCAGCTGAAGAGCTGCTGCTCTGTGTGCCTCTCATCTCTGTGGGGTAACACCAAGAGTTCTTCCCTTTCATGATGAGATTAGAAGAAACTAAGTTATAGCCTGCTGTGGACAGAAGGAAGGAGAGGATCCATACCACACCTTGTCATGGTCTTGAAACACTCAGGAGTGGCTGAAATGCCTGTGCCTATATCCACGTGGCACAAAATGGCTCTGTAAGGCATGTCTTAAGTCTCAACAGTGACTGTACCACAGAGGAGCCACTGTTCATCTAACAAAAACTGATTTTAGGGTACATTTTAGGATCAATACCACAGCTGCTGATAGGTTATTACTACCGACCTGAAAACTTCATAAAAATTAATTGCCTCACCTAATTTCCTATGTATTGTTATTATGAATAAAATGCAGATAAATTAGAAAAAACAAAACATTCTTCTGACATTTTCCATAGACCTGATTGCAACTCCATTCTCTTCTTGGGCAAGGTATTCCCTAAGTAACAGCTATGGTCAGCAAATTAACTGGAAATATTTTATAGTGTGTATTTGCAGGTGCACACTGAACAGGAACAATTTTCCTTCTTAAGGAAAACAAATACATGCAAACATTAATTAAAATTTGCATGAGCTAGGATAGCAAACCAATCTTAATTAATAAAAATGTAAACTGCAGTTAAATTGTAATTATTAATCATTTAAGCCGAATAAATTCCAGTTTTCTTTTTTTTTTTTTCCTCCCTATGGTAAATTTATGTTTGCATGCACTGATGCTGCTGTCTCAAAGCAGTTTATAACATACAAGTCTTCACTGTCTCTCCACCCCTTGCTGCCCCTCCAGCATCAGGAAGACTTGATATTATATGGAGGCTGACCCCAAACCACTAATGCAATGAGGGGTCTCAGGAACTGGACCAAAGTCGCCTTCTCAAACTGTGTTTTCCCATGGGACTGACACATGATCCAGCGTCTCAGCCATGGGGTGCAAATTTTCCTCTTTTTGCATCAAATTTAGGACAGTTTGCAACTGTCATCCCGGAGAAGTGCTTCGGTCCCTAGAACACATCTCAGCTGCCTTCCCATGGCCTAGATTCCTGTATTTATTTAAATACTTAAATATTCATTGGTAGAGGTATACACTTGGAGAGCTTCACTATGGAATGGCAGGTTCCTGTCTGCTGCAGGCAGAGCAGAAGGTGTTTGTGGCCGCTGGCCCCCCAGCTCAGCTCAGGTGCCCCTGGCCACTGCCACCATCAATCAGCTGAGCCCCTGGGCCCTGTCCCAGGGCTCCTGAGCTGCACAGGTGCTGCTGCACCAGCCAGGCTAAGCCACCCCTGAGAGAGCTGGCAAAGGGAAGAGAAAACACACTGAATGGAGCCAGAAATAGGCTCCTGCATCTGCAGCCTGATAAATCCCAAGTCTCCTTGGGGTCTGAGCATGTTCATGCTGCTGCCTATGGACCAATGCTCTGCATAGCATCCTTGGGGAAATGGCTGAACAGCACTTTAAAGGAGGCCTCTGATATCTTGGGCAGCATCTCAGTAACAACCACTTATCATCAGGCACACCCTGTGCCAGGAAACCAGCAGAAACTCCTGCTCCTGGCCTAGGGTCCCTACAGCCAGTGCCAGCACCTGGATCCTCTGCAGGAAGGCCCAGGGAGGACAGGTACCCCAGCAGTGACCCACATGGGCACACATGACACCCAGCAAGCCCTCAGCCCTGCAGTTCTCCCTGCAGAGCCAGCTGCACCAGGGCAACTGGCATAACAGGCATAGCAGTGATGCCAAGAGGTGCTTCCAACATCTTTTTTTCAGGAATCACTTCATGATGGGGGAAGAGAGACTTGCAGTGGTCCCCAGCGCCCCCAGTCTAGGCAAGGATGAGGAATCAGGGGGATGCAGAACTACATGGTGCACCTGTGGTCCCACAGGAAGCCTGTGGCAGAAAAAAACCCAGATCCTGTTTCCCAACCATCACACTCTCCTCCATTCATGGATGCTGAGCAAACAGCTGGGATACCTGAATGTAAGTTCTGCTCTGTGTCAGCCCACAGCAATATGCATCACATCCCAGACTGTGCAAAATACAACCTAATTTATAGAAAGGGTTATTAGTCATTGCAATGGATTTCCCAGGGAGGGGGTGGAGTCACTGGCCCTGAAGATGTTTAAGGAAAGAATTGGTATGGGACTTAGTACATGATATAGCTGGTGGTGTTCACTCAAAGGTTGGACTTGATCATCTGAGAGGTCTTTTCCAACCTAATTGATTCTGTGAAGAATTTTTAAAGGCACTTGGCCTGCTCTCTCTGTTCAAACCAAAAAAAACAGTACAAAGGCCAAGCTTGTGACCCACATGATTAGCATTGTGTATCAGGAATTCACACCAGTGGAGGGAAAGCAAAGCTGCCCTCCACCTCAGCACAACTCCCAACCAGGAGCAGAGTAGGGTTCTGGCATTTGGCAGCGGGGGGTGAAGGAAGAGACCCCATGTTCCCCCACATCCATCAGAGCTGCCCAGAAAGGTTTCACCACATTCCTCAGCTGAGGCACAAGTTAGTTTCCAAGTCCAATGTTCTTATTTCCAGACATAAGGGGAAATCACACTAAAGGACAACCAAAGGCGGATGCACCCACTGCTTTCAACAGGAGTTTTGCCACTAGCTTCAAAAACAAAATTATTTCAGCCACTAACAGACAGTCAGAAACTGGTATCATCTGATGCTGACCACAAAACATCAACATTTACTACACAACTAGGACAGGAGACTTAATTATCCAGATTGTGACAAAAGTGAAAACAAGCTCATATAAAGGCTCGATTTTTAAAGGCAAAACCAACCTTTTTTTAAAGTTCAAACAGCATCTTCAGAATCTCTGCAGCTTCTCTAGTGAGAAATAAAATGAATAACCAGCAGTGAGGAGCCAGACAAGTTACTGCACTCCTTGGCAGGCCTGAGGGATGAAAGCAGCAGAAGACACTCCACAAAATCAGGCAGAGTTTTCTGCCTGCTACCTGCAATGCACATCCTCAGTGCTTACGTGGCAGGAGTAGGTTCTAACTTGCAAAAAGGTTTTGTACAACCTCTGTTTTCATTTTAAGCCTTGGAATTTCCATGCCTACACACATTTTACCTGCCAAAACATCCACAGCTTTTCATACTGCCAACTTCACAGCCTGTAGATCAAGTCCTTTCTTCTTGGTTTGCAGTTATTTTTGGAAGTCAACATGCGTTATGTTGAAAAATATTTTCTTTCCATTCTTAAAGCCCTAAGATGTATTTATTAGTATATAATGAGAGCTTTTTCTTCCTACTTCTATTGATTAAAATCTGGTGCCAAGCAGTAACATCCATTATTGCACTATGACATACACACACAAGCACACACATACACAAAAGCGGAAAGAAGTGCAAAACCTGTGAAACCCTGAATGACCATTTCCTCAGAAGTGCTCTTGGGGAAAAAATAATTAAAGGAAATGTTCACAGAAAAGTAGCTCTGAAGCTAGTGGATCATATGGACAACACCCAGTACAGAAGGGTTGGAAAGAACAGGCAGTACACACTGGAGACAGTTTTGTCTGGAGGGGCTGAGATTTCCCAGGCCAGCTCTGAAGCATGGCCATGTGTTGATAAAAACAATCGTTTACTTAGGCTGATTTTTAAAAGTTCTCTGGGATGTTTTATCTCTGTTTCTGTCAAATTTTGAGTATGAAACTGTGAGCAAAAATTATTTCAGCAGAGTTATGTGTGCAGAGTTAAATGAATTCTGAACACTTCTGAAAAATCTTCATTTGGTCCTTTGTGAAATCTTAAGGCAAGGAAAGAGGTGGTCAGGCTATTACATTATCTTGCTATTGAGTTACTATTGGTGATTTCTCCTACTGTATTCTTCCTGAAATCAATTACTTCCCTTTTCCTTTCTAGAGAAAAAAAAAAAAAAACAGACAAACCACATTTTGGGTTGTTCCAAGTATGTATGTATGTCCAGCTGCCACTCAGACAGAATGTCAGACCCAGGGTGGAAGCTCCAGTGGGGAAAGAGAAGGTACCTGCTTTTTTCCTGGGTAGGCTGCTTATGGCAGAATCCTTGAGCACTTTTTACTCACTGGTTCCTATGTGTTAGCACAACCAAGCCATGCAGGACACTGGCTTGGACATTTTACAGTTTGAAGTTGTCTCCTGGTCAAGTCATGATGTTTCATAAGGTTTGCTCTGTGAATCCTTCATTTAGCTCCAATACTAACCAATCCCCAGATAATTTTTTTTTTTTATTTCCTGAAGCACTAAATCACTTGAATTCCCTGGAGAATGAAAGGCAGAACTGTATTCAAGGACATACTAAAACACTGTGGTATTAGATTCAGCTGACACTGAGATGCTCCCCACCTATTTCCAAATTCAGACTTGCATAATCTCATTTCGTATGTAGTCATTTAACAGGGCTGGCACTCTGCAATGCTCCACAGGGTAAACCAAAAAATGAAAAAAATGTGGTGCAGCTGCCAAAATCATCTCCCTCAAAGCCAGATCAGGTTTTGTTTGTGTGGTTCTTTCTTTGCTCTATTCCAGCAGTAGGGCATCCCACATCCCATCAAAGGTTTACTGCAGTTTTCTAAAAATAGGCTCTTCCAAATAGCCACATTCTCTGAATTCTGGGCAGCGAAGAAACATCACCTCAGGTGCAGCCTTATACTGAGCTGAGCCAAAGAACACGTCAGACTTTGCCATCTCTGGGCAGGCTTGTCAGTGGCTGGCAAATGGACATAATACACTATTGTGAAAAATGCTCACTCTTTTCCACAGTAACCATACTGACAGGTGAGATTAGGCTTAGTACAAAGAGATTATTAAATGGCTTTTTGACATAGAATTGGAGAGTGTACAAGTTCTTCTTCCACAGGAAAAGAAATAATGGTTTTTATAATTAATAAGGAAACATCAAGAGAGAAATGTTTTGGAAAAATCCTAGTCTGCAAAGTTAATCTCTGTATGATGTCACAGTATGCCCATTTATTCACTTGGATTAGACTTTACACTAGCAGCAACTATTCAAGGAATGGTATGTGCTCGTGCAGGTAATAAACATCACCTGCTGAAATAATACATAACATTTAAAATTATGTTGTTGACTCAACTAATGAGAAACACTGTACAATGTAATTGTACTGGATGAAATTCTGGGTTCATTGAAGTCAATCGTACAGGACTAGGAATTCACATATTGTTCTTATTTAAGTACAGCTGTTTTGCAATATTTATTCCAAGCAAACTTGGATTGTAAACATGCAGCAGTGCCAAAAAGAGTTGAGCTGCATTGCTATCCAGACACTTACAGATTTGTCATATGGGGTGCAATCTGGTCCGTTATACAACCTATTAATTAGTTCCACAACTTCTCTCATACATTACTCAGTCTGCCTCTCTTTTCCAATTTTCTGGTTTTCTAGTTGCTAGTTTTTAATTGCCACATCAAGAAATACTATACATGGGTCTAGAGCCATTAGCAAGATTCCTGGTGCTTGGCAATTTCTTGAATTCTGTAACACTAAGAATGTCTCTATCGAATCTGTGAAGCAGGAAAATCCAGTGTTAATAACACCACCAATACTTTAATTCTTCCCACGGGGTCTGGCACAACTCTTCAGAAAACGAGATGGTTTTCACAGAAATATATATATATACAAACAGACACACTCTCAATAAAATTACAATTTTTGACCTTAGAAGAACAAATGTCTTAAAAGCATTCACATGTAATGATAGAGGCTTACCTACATCCCTGTCCCTGATACAGTAGTCTGGAGAGCTCTCAAAGTACACCAGGTCATTCTTAGTTGGCTTCTTAAATTTCTTATTAGCCACAGTGAAACCTGTGCCATCTTGATTCATGACCACCTGAATTGCTCCATTGTATTTCTTCCACAGATAATCTCCTGTTTTCCTGAAGTCTGCCATGGCCAGCCAGCAGGTCCTTAGAGTGCAGGATCCACTCACACCGTGACATTTGCACTCCTGTTTCAAAAACCGCTTCACAGCCTGTTTAGAAACGCACAGGTAAATAAAAATATACACAGGTAAAATAAAGTGTCATTAATTGCTTCTCAGCCCTTTCCTATCCATCCTGTAGTGCCAGGCCTGCGATGGGTCTCCAAATCACGGTCTGTAGTGACACCCACTGGTAGCATCAAGTCATCCCCATGTGGTTGGTGTGCTCTGGTTGCCTGACTCACTGCACACACAATCCTCCAGCTGGCGGGCTTACCTTCCTGCTCCTGCCAGTCGTCCCAAGGATCGATGTCGTCTACAGTGCTAGGACACAGACTGGACAGGAGGAAATTATCAGAAATGGCCAGAATCATTCAGACCCTTGGGAGGCCAAGGTGCCTCCTTTCCCCATTGTTCCAGCTGCAGGATCGCTGTGCTGACCCTCTGACCCTCTCCAGCTCATCTTCATGAAGTTGCCCTTTACCCTGAACAGCGTTTCAGATATTGCCCAGAAACTTACAGGCATTTCATATTTAAATTATTTTTAAAAGACTGCCTGTGCTAGGCATCAGATCTATGGAGAATTTTAAAATACAGTATTATTAAAATGCTTATACAGCTTTTAACAAACATTTTAGAATAAGACCTTCATTAGTTTGCATTGGAGAGATCACCCTTATCATTAATTTAACATCTGGATAGCATTAAAGCCATTTCAGCTTCATCTCAGACATTTAAGCTATCTGTATGATGTTGGAGAACAACAGATGGGTTCATAGACAGTGAATAATTCATTCCTAATTATGTAGATATGGATATTTTGATCTATAAATATTATGCCTTAAGGGTTCATGAAATATGAACTTTTTAGAGTTTGTACAAGAGGAATGTCATCATGGGAGGAAGGTAAGAGAGAAGAAAGTTCCATGATTAGAAGTGAGAAGTGCAGCAGCCTTTTTCAGTCAAGCACTTAGTAATAAAGTGAGAATGTATTATGAAACCAAAGGACTTTTAATTTTCTTTCCAACTTGTAAATGATACGACTACTTCAAAGAAGTCACTGGCATTCCCACAGCCCCACTTCACTGCCATATTACAGATCTGGGATTTACGTAGATGCTCAGTTTTAATTATCTGAGCAGAAATCAATTTAACTACTTGCACGTTTAAAACAACTTGCTGGAATAGTGGAAGAAGCACATAGGAATGCAGGTCTCTTTTTGTTAGTGATGTGCATATGATGATACACAGCACATTATGTTCTGTGATTCGTATGGGAATGTTACAAATATTTGTTCTATTTATTTATTAATTAACACACTTGGAATAGTCTAGTTATAAAAGAAATCTATCAACACCCCTTCTGGAGCCAAGGAAAAAACAAGGGCACAGATGGTCTTACCCATGTCAAAGTGCCAGGCTTGTGGGCAGCTGAGGTGGTAAGATCCCTGCAAAGCTAAACCTACAGTGCTGCACTGTGAATACAAAACAATGCCTCTGTCCATAAAGCGGGTCCTACAGCATATGAGAACATATTCATTATTTTTAATTGAATATATTCATCAAATTTCTTGATATTGTTCTAAAAATCTACCTTACCAGTACCACCTTAGTATTTGGCAGAGGTATTTTTTAAAACTTAAAAATAATAAAATGTTCAAATACTACAGAAGGTACTTCCCATCATGGAACTTATTCCACATTTCTGAGAAAAATCTTTGTGTTGTAGAGTTCAGCCTCTTTTGGACAGTAGCAGAAACATGATCACAGTACTGCATGTGCCTATCACATATTAATTACACCTGCTGGCAATAAACAACTGGAGGAAAGATGCTGAAGAACAAAAATTTCTCAGGAAAATCATCTACTTGTGGTACAAAAAAGAACAGAATACAACCAACTTAATTCCTACTAAATATGCATTAAGGAAAATCAAAGATAAGACACAAAAACTCTACAAATAACTCCGGAAGTCCTTGGTCTAGCACAATAAAACTTATTTTTCTGTATTATTTCAGATGTCATGGGAGCAGCAAATTTTTAAAATGTTTTAAATAATCAAACGGCATATTCCCTGTTTCATGCAGTATTCTTACTTTTTATAGCTACCACTGCAAAATGTTAGTGCAGATATTCCTCAGCCCTTGCACCAGAGGCCAGCAATACACCTGGAAACTACTCCTTCTACTCGCCTACGATGTGAAAGTAAAGACTCTTCTAGCTGAAATTCAGGAATGGTATTTTCATACAATGTTTAGAAAAGGGGTTGCAGACCATGCTCCAAGGCCATTGCCTTTTGGAGGGACATGTATTTTGGATTTATTTTCTTAAAAAGTGAAGTAATTACTTTTTATCTCTGCTCACTTTGTGATTAAGTTTACCATATACATACAGAAATGGCCAGAATGGTTTCTTTTCCCCTCGAGAGTTATTTTTAATCTGCTCTTTGTCAAGCCTGTTCTTCAGTGTGATCTTCAGCCCCTCTTAGGAATTTGTATTCTGTATTAACCAAAAATAAAACTCCTGCTTATGTAAAAAATAGGCTCAAAACAAAACCTCTATCCAAACTGATCCTGCAGCTTAGACTCCTGCTTAACTTCCAACACAAGGAGCAACTGAAGTGACTCCAACAGGAATACTGTTAGGGAGTTGAATTCAGTCCGTTTGCAGATCTCTGTCACTCTGAACCTCCAAGAGAGATAGAAACAGAGCTCAGGCTCCTGCTCTTCCCATATTTCTTCATAACTGCTGAGACCAAACAGCAAGAGCCAAGCATTAACTACCCCAGACACAAGAGAGATGTCCAAGAACATCTCTAGGCACCTATTGGATGAACACCTACCTTCCTTCCAGCTCTGTTGTTGTGAAGGTTCATCAGTGCCCTGGCATCTTTTCCTTTCCGTTCTTTGGCATCCACAAAGGCTCTGGCAAATTTAATGCCATAGTCAATGTTATCACTGCAGCCACCCCAGTCAAAATGGCCCTTGCTGTCCTTGGCAGCGCCTTTCTTCTCAGGATCACAGGAGCAGGATTTCAGCTCCCCTTGGCTACATGCCCTGGTGATGGCAAAAACAACTCCAGCAGAGGAGATGGCGTGTACAAAAGCAGATTCTCGACTACCTGAAACAAAAAAAAGTCGCCTTGAATATCATTGGGGTAGCTACTTTGAGTGGCTGTCCTATATCTAGACAGTTAGCCTGGACTTTTTTGCAGAGCAAAAGATAAACTAGGCTGAAATCACACACATACACATTCCCTGGAGCCAGAATTAGTCATGGCTTAAACTTGGACCCCTCCCTGGTAAAAGCTCATCAATATAGTGTTAGTTGGAAAACATTAAACATTTGCTTCTGATATTGATTAATATATTTTCATGGATCAGTTGTTTTGTACAGATATGTGAATAGGACAGCTGGTGTTCCTATCACGTTCTGTGAATTTAGAAGAATATATGAAGTGCTATTTGAGAGATAAGTTTAAGAAATTATTAAATAGGGACACTAAAACAACATGTACATTGCAAAATATTGCAAGTAACTCTTGAAACTAGATTTTCCCCTCCTGAAGCTCTTGGAATAGACTTTCCTGCTTAAAACATGCTAAGGAGAAAATTTGGGTGTCGTTTTCTGAAAAATAAGTTAATATTAGGTTTTCTGCCTAGAATCAAGCCCATAACCGTAATTCACACAAATAAGTTCCATTAAATCAATGGTACCACTTGTGTCATGCTTAAGGCAGGATTTGGTGTGGCAGCTGTGACTTCTTCATGCCAGCTGCTCTGGCAGCTTTCCCATCTCCTAATCAAGATACTTCATTATACCAAAGATAATCTGAATTTCTAGGCCGACTCATAGGTGATTAGGTACATTATTTCAATGTAATAATTGCTTTTATGTTAAGACATAATCGTTTACAATACAGACCTACATTACAGTGCCACAAATCTCTTTATGGTAATGGATTATTTTCCTACTTTTAAAGTTTTTAGCACAGTAAGAATTGCAAGTAGATTTTTGTGCAATATCTATGAGATCTTGCAGGGAGAGACCTCTTTGCAGGGCTTGTAAGCCTTAAGTGATGTTAGTACAGTAAAGGAGGACCCCAAAGGCAAATGTTAACTGTGGGTTGGTTTTTTTTTTTTGTAGAGGCAGAATTACACCACAGAACTTATTATTTAGTACTTCAATTGCAGCAGCACCAGTATGTTTAACTTACATTTGTAAGGACCCTGAACTTCCACATGCTGTGCAAGCCTTTTGCAAATGGCAACCAGAAACTCACAAAAGGACTGGGCAAACTATACCTTCCCTACACTACCTTTAAAATCAGGCAAGTTACTATGGCTTGTCACAAATCACATTCTTTTGAAGACTTATTTCCAAGAAAACTTATTCAGAAATACTAAAAATTTGTAAAGTGTTCATTAAAAAGAAACACTTGATATTGTTGAAAAATGTTTTTTGAGTTTATTGAACTAATCAATTTTATTAGAGCGCTATCAAGCTACATTTCTGTGGCAATCACAGCCTGATCAGGCTCAGTGCAGAGCTCAAAACCCTGATGCTGTCATTCTCTCACATGAGCCAACAGTGAACACTTCACATTTGGAAAAACTGCTTTTTTACTTTTTTTATTAAACAGCATCATCACTATTAGGCTATGTTCTGCCAGACATGTTTTCCTGAATATCAGACAAACCTCACTGAAAACTTTAGTCTCAGGGTGACGTTGCTGGTTACTCACAAATAATTGCTAAGGGAAAGTGAAGCTGGTTACAGAAACCAATTGCTTACCAGCAGCAGAACCCAGCACGGAATGAGAATCCCCCTGCTGGGCTCACCGTGCCCAGTGTCTGCCATCCTCCTCTCCGTCCCCACCAGTGGGGCAATGGTCCCAGGGTACTTTCCTACTCCCCTCCCTGCAGGCGCCACGCTGCTCACAGCTTAGGATGATACCGGGGACATTGCAGGGACACAAGTGCCAGGGCAGGGTCAACGCCACTGGCTGTGCACCAAGGAAAGCCATGTGCGCAGCGTGTGCACTTGGTGGAAAGAGCTGCGGTACACAGTAACAAACCCCAGCCACTTCTTCGAGTCAAAAGGGCCACATTTGAGATTTGAAGACTCCCTAGATGCCTTACTCCGACCTTTAGATGGCAACACCACCCTGCTTAACCATCCTCCCTCGGGGCGGGAAGCACAGTGTAGCGCTCAGTTGCTTGGGGTCTGACAAGCCTGGCTCACCTCTATCAGATGTGTGTGCCCTGCCTCTCTCTCCTCCGGAGCCTGACCTGAAATGTCGCAGTGCCTGAGGGCAGTGCTGCCCCTCAACCTGCAGACAGCACAGCCCTGGAGGGACTGCACCCAACTGCTGCGCCTTCCCGGCGAAATGCTCCAGTGGGAACGGGCCTGCAGGAGGGATTGTCGCCGGCCATGCCAGCGCACCCGGGGCTCCTGTTTGCGCTTGAGCTGCCCTTTTCAGCAGGCCCCATCCCGAATACCGCTACCCTGAGACTGGGCCGTCATGGAGAGTCTTCTGTCCTGTTGCAATATTCTGATGCCTCAATTTCCCTGTAGGCCTTAATATGTGGGTTTGATATCCATTATGCACCAAAAAACGTCGGGAACTGCAGAGCCAGCCTCTAATATGACAAAACCCCACACTGTCTCCCTGATTTGATACAGACCTTCACGTTATCATATATGCTGTTCTGCTGTCCGCGAGATCCTAAAATAACTTTGCATGTCCTCTTCCTTTCCCCCTGCAATGCAAAACCAAGCTCCAACCTTTCTAAGACCAAGGTACAGGAGGATGGTCACTGCTTCTCATCGTTCCCGCACGCTTCCCAGGGGGTGCTAGCCCCAAAACAGCCTCTGTTACCCTTCTGAGGAACGCTTGTACCCTCAGGTCGACTCTCCAAACCCCCTTTTACCCCCGGCCCGAGGGCGCGGAGGCCGCACGCCCCACCCAAGCCTACGGGAAGCCTGTCTCATGGCGGACTCACTGCGCAGCAGGACGCGGCCGAGGAGGCGCTGCCCCCGCTCCAGGGCGTTGCAGTCCCAGCGGTGCCGGCGGAACTGGTGCTGGCACTCGGCCGTCCAGGCGGCCACGCCGCGGCCGATGGAGAGCATGGCCTCGGGGTGCCGCCGGCACAGCTGCCGCTGCCGGCTCACCAGGCCCGGCACGTTGTCGCACATCACCCGCGACGAGCCCACGGCGCCCATGTACCTGCGGGGAGGGAAGGAGCAGGGCAGCACCGGGGGCCGCGCCGACCCCCGTGCACCGACTCCGAGGGAAGGAGGGTCCTCAGCGCCCCGGAGCCTTCCTCTGGCGGGTCCCGAGCTGCAGCTACCTTTGCTTTTTTGGTGGAAATCCTTTACAATTAGTCATCGACCCTGTGTTTTTTTAATAACGTGAAGCATTCAGGAGAACCTCAAGCCCCGCTATTGCAGCTCCGTGCAGTACTTGAAAAAAAAAAAAAAAAAGCCTTGAAAAAATTAAATTACATCATCTGTATCCAGATGGTCTCTATTAGTCCTGAAACGCTTCGAAAGGTACCTTTCATAAAATCCAAACTTCTATAGGTGTCTTTTGAAGGGATCAAACAGAAGAAAATGTCCCTTTCTTGAATTTTCATTATTTTATACGATCATAAAATCGTTAAAGCCGTGACTTCCAAAAAATATATAGTTAAGTGGCATTTAGAAGACACCGTGACAAAAAGCCATCGCAATAAATAACCTTTATACGACTAAGGACATAGATAGTAATTTTACTGAAACATGCTCAGTCTGATAAAGTGGGCTTTGATCGCGCGTCAGGCAGAGTCAAGGTTAAATGTGTTCCCCAGGATTACAAGAAGGGGTTTAAGCCTCCTCTCCTACACCAGGACTTTCCAGCCTGGGTTTGGTTGAGGTCCCGAGTCTGAGGGGCAGGTTTATGTATCCGTTCTAACGCGTTTTTGCAGCGAGCTGCCCCACGCTGACATCAGCTATCACTTGAAGCCGAGCCCTGCGCTGCCCGCCGGGGTCTCAGCCCTCTGCCCTGGCAGTTTGCAGTTCAGCGAGGAAAAACAGTGAAGGAGGGAGGGGCGGGGTAGGGCGAGGAAAAAGGAAAAAATAAATTAATATAAAAAAGCAGCGCCGCTGTAGCCAATTCCCAGCGCCCCCGGGGCGCGGAGGGGCGGCTGCCAGCAGCGGCGCTTCGCCCGCGCCCCTCGGGCGTATTCCCCTGCCGCCTGCCCGCCCTCCTCCGCCCCGGGCAGCCCCGGCCGGGCGGTGCCCGCTGCCCCCGCCGGGCCAGGTCCGCTCGCATCGTTGCCGAAAGCCCCGGGTAGCCCCCGCAGTTCGCTGTGCTTATGCGGAGAAGGAGGTTCGGAGAGCGGGGACGGGGTGTGGAAGGAGGTGCCGGGATAGTCTAAATCCGCTCGCTTTAAGGCCGGACTTTCTGGACCGGAGCAGCTGGCAGCAGGCGAGCTCCGCTTCTGCGAGACTAAGAGGGAGAGGCTTCCCCCACCTCCCCTAATTCACAATTAATCCGACCCCACCTTCCCCAAGAGCAAATAAAAATTTCTGGAATTGCACAGCTTACCACCATGAGGAGGTGACTAGTGGGGTCGCCCAGACCAAGACCAAGGGAAGAGACCACCAGATCCCAGGGAGAAAGTTCATGTTAGAAACGCTTCGGTCCACATCAGGTCAGTTGCGGGGGGTAGAAGAAATCCCATGGAGCAACAAGGACGACCGGGGGCAAACGCACCTCGAGGGCTACTTGTTTCCCGTGGGTCAAGCACCTTCGCATCCCCACGCGCAATCGCGGGGCTTACTGATCCCCTGCCGGGATACGGGGGATGCTGGTTAATGCATCGCTCTGGATTCCTCTCGGTTCGCCCTGCACCAAATTCCTCAGGACGTGGAGCTCAGCCCCGCTCCCATCCTTCATCTTTGCCCCGATCCAGCTCTTCCCTGCAGTCACGGCAAAACTGAAGGGCTGGTGTGGGCTGCTCTCAGACTGGGTGGGTTCTGCTTTGGTTGGTGTTTTTTTTCCTCTGAAACTCTGATGGATGAAATGATGTCAAGAGACACTGGGGGAAGAGGAGGAGGTAACACCTCTGATTAGGCAAGGAATCCCGAGGAGCCAGTTGCTTTCCAATAACCCTACAAGCAGACAGTGAACTCAAACCCGCCAGCAGATGCTACACGACCTGCTGCGGAGCCGGCGGCGGCCCCGGCAGGCTGTTACAGACCGGCAGCACTTGGCACCCCTCGGGGTTTGGCACGACGGCAATTCACGGCTCGGTACGCGCACCCGCCAACACCGAGCACGGAACGGAACCGCGACCCGGTGCCAGAGAAGCAGAGAACCAGAGCAGTCCCGGCATGGGGTGGACACCGCCCGGCCGCCTCCCCTCACCCCGGGCCCCGCCAAGCCGGGCTGGTTTCTCCTCCTCCGCCCCGGGCGCCCCTGCGCCGCCCCGCACGGCGGGACCCCGGCCCATGGGCTCCGACCGGGGGATGGGCTACGCGCCCCATCGCGCTTGAATCCCGGGATGGGGGAATCCGCCGCCGCTACCGCACCGCTCCTCGGCCCGAGAGAGAGCCGATGCGGCCGGGGCCGGAAGCAAACTCAAGAGTAAGGGATTCAGCAACTTTTTCACCTCGTGTCATCTCTGCAAAACAAATACAGGGTAACATATACCCCAAACAACCAACCCTCAATATCAAGCTGGAGATGCCCCATTTCCGAGACAGCATCCGTTGGCTGAAAAAAAGATAAATGCCCAAGGTTGCTAAGTGAATTAGGGACTACACAGCTCTCGTTACTAAAAGAAGCCTGCAGTTAACTCCAGGTGAAAATCCTCGAAGAGCAAGCTAGGAAGCAACCCTTTAAGAGCTGTTCTTGAGACTGCATATTACAGCTATTCTCCTGTTTCTCGGTACAACTTCTCAGGATCACAGACATAGTAGATGTAAGCACCATTTCAGAAAGAAAATGCAAAACGTAGAACTATGTGTAGTTTTGAATTGGTAATATTCACCTACTTACCAATTTAACTTGAAAGAAATCCTGCAAGCAAACCACAGACATCAACACCAAACACCTAGCCACAACTGCAATGTAAAAATCTTTTGACAGCAAAGACTTCCAAGAATAATTGTTTGGGACACATGAATGCTTATACAACTACTTGCCCAGAGGCAACTACAGCTCCTACTATCTCCAGCAGGTCTTAAAAGCAATAGATGAGCATTTAACATCTATTTGATAAAATGTAATCAGTGTAAAAAAACTCCAATTTTTAGCTTCTGGCCAACTTACTACATTTACAATACACTTTGGATCAATTACCAGGGCAGAGAAACACCAGTGAGAGGAAAGCAAATTCCAGCAGTATTTTACATCCATACAAAGAGAGGCTACAATCCTCCCTGCTACTAGTTTTCTCAAGCCTGATGTAAAACGCTGACTTCTTAGAATTTCTCATACCCCTCGGTATAAATGGGTGCTCCTTAACCTGTGGCTACTGCATGAGTGGCTTATCAATGCTATCCTTTTCTTCTCCATAAATCATTTACCCCATCCTCATCCCAGCTTTATTGCTATTCAGATTCCCCAACCCCTCCACTTTGTGCCAGCCCTACAGAAGTTCACCTTGGAGCCATTATTTCTACTAACAACCACACTCTCATTATAGAGAATAACAAAACAGGCAAGTCTGGAAAGCAATCTGGGGAACCACACTGGTTTTGCACAGCCAGGTTTAGGTAGCAGGGAGGGCCATAGGGGTGGTTTCTGTGAGAAGGTGCCACAAACTTCCCACATGTCTGACAGAGCCAATTCCAAGACAAACCTACCACTGGCTAAAGTCAAGCCCATCCGTGATGATAGTTGCACCACTATTTGATAATGTGAAAAAACCCCTCTGCAACAGCAATTATGCCAAAGAGAATGTTAGACAATGTGAGAGCAACAGCTATGGAGACACCCAGGCCAGTGAAGAACAAGGGGGAGAAGGTGCTCCAGCTGCCAGGGCAGAGATTCCCAAGCAGACCATAATGAGTTAGGCTGTCCTCCTGCAGCTGACAGAGGTCCATGGTGGAGCAGATACCTACCTGCAGTTTGTGGAGAACCCCATGCTGGGTTGAAGGAGGCTGTGACTCTGTGGGAAGCCCATGCTAGAGCAGGTCATAGCAGGACTTGACTCACAATGGAGCAGTCTATTCCTGAAGGACTGCACTCCATAAAGGGGGAGGGGGGGACTCACATTGGAGCAGTTAATGAAGAACTGCAGCCTATGGAAAGGACTCATTCATGTTGAAGTTCATGGAGGACTGTCTTTCATGAGAGGGAGTGCTGGTTCCTGATGCAGCCTGGAGAGGCTGCTGGCCTCCATTGCTGCAGACTGAATCTAGAAAGCTGTAGTTGTCTTCAATAAGTATTATGTGCACAGTTTCTCATAAAATTAAGAAATCATGCCACATGCAATACAGGTGACAGTGGAGTAGCCAGAGCACAGAAAGCCCCATTTTCTGCAAACCTTCTGAAACCGAGCTGAGGTTTTTCAATACAGTAATAAAAATCATGTAGTTAAACCTGTATTTCTACATTCAAATAAAGACCATTTTCAGGGAAGCTGAAGGCATGGAAGGCTCATCTGAAATTTTTTCAAGAAAAACCCCACCACACTCTAAAGTAGAACACATCTTCCCATATATATATTACAGCCAGTAGCACCTAAAATAATTGAAACTCGTTCTGCAGAGGTATCTCTCTAAGTCCCACTTCCAGGGACTATGGCTCTGTATTATATGAAACTATACCACTTGGATCAGGATAAAAACTAGAATTTATCAGCTATTAAAACTGTTGAGATCATATAATTCATTTAACGTCAGTAGTACCCCATTGTCATATCTCACTTGTATCTCAGTACAGCTCCATTCCTTGATAATTCCTATTTCTGAAATAGGGAAATTTTAGTTTTCAAATACACTTCTCCCCTGCCTCCAGAACAAAGAAATGACAGCACACGTCATTAAAAGCAGAAATTTGCAGTTCTGATACCTGTTAAGACCTTGAAGGCTTTGTAGCCTTACTACCAACCAACACGTATCAGAACTGTAGTCTCTGTACATGAACATCCAAAGCAACATTTGTAGTACTTTACAGTGTGCATTACTACATTTGTAGTAACACAGGAGTTTTATCTGGGAAAGACAAACTGGTAAAACAGAGGAGACAAATGCAATCCACCTACTCATGAAGGAGTGATAGCTTTGGGAAACACTTGTATGGCTTAAAAGACAACAAAAGAAAGAAGAATAAATTGCACACTTTAAATCTTGTCCTCAACAAGACACTTGGATGAAATAAAAGAAAAACCAAACACATGCTGAGGTCAATGGAGAATACAGCCAAAAAAAAAAAGCTCACTCTCTCAATTTAGGAATACACATACCCCAAACTGCTCTTTAATACCTGTAATTGCATAACAGGAATAATTAAGGGTAATGCCTTATCAAAGGCCAGGTACTGCACAAGTCAAATTTCAAGAGCAGGCAAATCCCAAAGCACAGAAGAGAGACACAGGACACAGAAGCCATGGCCTATCTTAGACAGCAAAATTAAAAAAAAACCAACTTGCAGTTCCTTCAGATCTCGACAGGATCGCCCAAGGCCCTACTTTTACAAAACAGCCTAAAGATTCAGAAAAGGCCATGGTATGAATAGTCATCCCTAGGAAGACAAGTTAGGTATCCAATGACATTGCAAGTAGGAACCTCGGTGCATCTTTAAGCAACCAGGTATCCTGAAGGATTTGGCCGGGAGGTCCAATTCACTCAATCCTCAGCATCTCAATTTACACTACTGTAGGAGGAGAACAACAGAAGCAGGGCTGAAGAGTTTACCTGTTTAATACATGCAAAGCTCTTTAGCATTCTCCCCCAATCCTCTCATAGATGTGCAAATCATTATATTCTTACTGTTCTGGGATAATGAGTGCAATTTGATGACTTGCAGAAGGAGGCCTCTCAGCAGGGACGTTTTCATATGAAGGCTCCCTTAGGAGGTGCTGCAGGGGGTAAGAGGGTCTGACAGTGTAGCTCAAGGGCTAGATGTTGAAGGAACCTTTTCCTTTGCCTCCTGCCCTATCACTATCATATTGTGACAACTTGTCAGAGAATTTGAAAGAGACACTGCAACAACATGGAAGTGAATAAAAGGCTTTGAAATACATCATCTAAGTTTGGAATCCAAGAAGGCAAATGCAATTTTATTATTTTTATATGCTATGTTAAAATATTCTTTGTTAATTTGACTCTTAAAATATCCTCTTCATGCAACGCATGGTCCGATTGACCAATTAATGGAAACAGCTTGAAGTGGTTACTCAAAGATCCTTGAGTCTTGTGAGTGGTTTATAGAATTTTGAACACTATACCTGAACAGTGCAGGATGCCAAGTATGCTGCTGGCACAGCCTATGTTTAACCAAATGATGTTCACATGTATGTTTGCAATTGTGACTATAAGCATCAGAAACAGGTGATCCATAAGATAGTTCAAAAGGACCAGATTCTTCCAAATGTATTTTGGAGGTCATCTCCTAAAGTCCAGACCTTTGACTCACTTCTGCAAAAAACACTTCATTATAACTCTCACACTTGAAAAAAAAAAAAATACCAGCAACTATAATGCATTACTTTTCCCTCCTAAGTATTTTACACCAAAGGCATAATAATTTAGTTAAATATTAATGAAACTTTTCTGGAACAAATTTTCTGTTCAACTGCAAGAGCTCCAAGTTAAGCTTAAAAGGCTTCCATCTGACCAGGCCTTTTCTTCAAGCTGATGGACAAAAAAGTTTAAATTTTTATTGTCTCAAGTGTCAAGATCTGCTAGTGGCAGGAAATGCATCTCTTGAAATGAAAGCTATATTCAGTGTCCTTTGAAGTGGCTTTGTTAATGCAAATTATCACTTAAGTGGAGTCAGGGTTAAGAAGAAGAATCTTCTGAAGGGCAGAAACCTTACTAGTGGTTGAAATAATTTCACTTAACTAATGCAAAAGTCCATGTAGGAAACAGTCTGAACAACATGCCTGGCCATTCCCCCTCCCCTACCAACCCCAAAAACCTTCACCCAACAGAAACTCCCAAAAGACGTTAGGTGTCAAAGTTCTAGTGCTACCTGTGAGCCAATCCACCACTGAGCAACTGCATTTGAACCGTATTTCAAACTGATTAGAGGAGGAGTGGTGCATATATAAAAGGTTCTTTTCACACTATGCACCCTGTTAGTTTAGGATTACCTCTAAAGTAATATGAAGAAACAGGAGTATTTTTTGAAGTATTTCCTTTTACATACTTTGTTCATGCTGACAGAATATTCATTTCCACTTCTGGTAGATGGCAGTGGTGAATACAGCTTATCCCCTCTGACACCAGTCTGGGAGCAGAAAAACCAGAAAAAACTCCTCAACTTATGTTTTTGCCTCTCGCGTCATCATTCTGTAGGATGCTCTTGGCATTGAAGAACAAAAGGAGACAAAACATTTGCAGTAACAAGGAAACACACTAACAGCCAATGCAATTCTCTAAAAAAAACAGAAAACAGCAGTAACAGTGACTGGAATAGCACCCAAGTTTTTATCTTCTCCTTACTAGTCTCTAGATGGAATACCAAAGGTTAAGACTCCACACAATACTTCTGAAACCTCAGAGACCAAAAGTTTTACACACCCATTCAGGTTCGTGTTTTTTTAGACTATTTTTGTTTCATTTTGAAAGAAAAAAGTTCCTTCCAAAATATTCAGCATTTTTACAGATGTTTACTGAAACCTGCGAAAACACAACTAGTTTGAATTCACTTACACCAACTTCCTTTTCTTCCAACGTAACTGGTTTGGTAAGATCAAAACCAATTACAAATGTTTCACTGTGGGACTACAAACACCTTTTTAAGTGGAGAAAATATTAAGAAAAAATTTGTAGTGAAAGAGCAGACCAAGAAAAACCAAGCTGCTATGCCTTTGAAGTTGTCTGCATTCTTGTTGCAAAGGACTACTATAATCCTTTATTTGATGTGATGAAATACTTAGAGGTAAGTATCCCTAAGGAAGTAGATTTTTAAGGCATAATTCAAGTATCATAGGTCAGTGGGAAATGACTTTTTAGACAATATGTAACAAGGTCTCCACAGTTCTCTTGATTATGAAAAGAAAAAAACAACACACATCTCTCTGCAAGAGAAAAGAATTTTATCAACATAAAATTGAAAGTGATACTTAAAATATTTTAAACCCTCCCAACCCCAAAACATATCTGCATTATAATCTTAAACACAAACGTGATATATAATCAGAATTTGATTATGTTCACCTCTGAACAGGTAAAAGTAAAAAACCGAAACTAATAATTATTAAGAAATAATCAGTTTTATGTCAAAATCAGAAAAGCAGCTTTGACAAGATTTTAGACCTACATTCTATATCAACAATGAATTTCAAAACAAAACCCTAAGATACACATAAATAACAGTTTTAATTTTTAATAACTTCATTTTTAGATCAAAGTACCTACTAGATACAAATACTGCAGATATGATGAGAAACAGCACTAAACTTAAATTCGAGTTCTCTTAGCTACTAATTTAATTACAAATAAGAAAAAACCAAATCCAAGCAATGTTACCACTCCCATTTTTACTAATCTTTTTTCCAAGGTGGCTGCTTTTCCCGGAAGTTTCACTTGGTTAGGTTTATTCTTCTCGTCATACTGGGACAGATGTTAAATCCATGTAAAAAGTGGAAAAAAAAAAAAGTTAGCATGAAAGCTTCTTAAGTAGATTATTAAGTACCCAGTCCTAAGAATCTGCAAGCATCTAGGATTGATATTACTTCTCTCTGTCTTGCTTAATTTGAAATAAATGTACGTAAACGTTCATCTTATCTGATGTTCAATCATTATGTAACATACATTAGAAAAACATTTATAAACTTAATTACTCAGGAGTAAAACACTGCTATTATAAGATGCTACAAAAATCTAATAACAAAACAACTGAACTCCAACTGTCAAATGTTTTAACTAGAACTTCTGCCATTTAATTACTAAAAAAACCTGTTTATTTAAAAAGGAAGTTAAACATGTAACAGATTACTTTCTTGGAATTAAAGGGCGAGCGGAAAGTACAAGTGCCTTCTCAAATACATGCTGAACCTGAGTGGAGCTTTGTCATAAAGGACAGCAGGGTTAGATTCTGATTTCCTACCTTAGTTCACAACGCTTGCTTGGAAGGCCCTCTCATTTACTGTACTTTCAAAAATTATATGCTACAGACATGTACTGCTGGCAAAGCCTTGTCATGACAGCTTAGCAAATAGTACTGAGGACTTCAAGGGAATTTATACAAACATTTTATGTAAGAAGTTTAACTGTTTCACTTAGATTCACACATTCATAATATATGCTTGGGTGCTCTATACTCAAAAGTGCTCCATCATAAATTAAGTAGCACAAAAATATTTTGCATTAAAGTATTCATAAGTGAAATTCATAAAATGTAACAGGATTAAAAAGAAGGATCTGCATTTTTGAAGTAATTAGAAGACTGTTTTACCCAGGATACAAAGACACTATGCTTCATCCTGACAGCTACAAAACCTTATGTACAGATAAAGTCAAGTGGCACTGCACTTGGAACCCTCCCAGCCCTTATAACTGGCCTGCATATATAGGAGGCAAATACATACACAATTGATGATTGGATATGCGAAAAAAGAATAAATAGCTGGTAAGTTCTTTGCCACAGTCGCCACCTCTTAATATATTTGGTGTTAAGTGATTTATTGGGAGAAGGCTGTTATATTACATTAAATTTACTTAAACTACAGGAAATTGCATTAGTAGCATTATACTCAAGGTCTGAGTTCCACATGGCTTCGTTCAGCAACAGATTCCTTTCTGACACTGATGCTCCATTTACCCTACCCCAGCGGCCGTTCATTTTACCAGCCTATTACTTAAAATGACCCCATCTGACAAGAGAGTGTCACTGTGTTGGTTTGAGAATGACTGATGTGGTGCTAACATCTAGCCTTGACCTCTCCCACCCTCTTCTTTTGTCACTCTGCAGAGTTATCTGGGATGCCTCCCATTCAATCCATAAAACCTTAGTATCTTCCTTTTGAGTCAATAATTCCAAACAAAAGATTCCTTAATTAAAAAGTAAGAGTGTAAGTATTCAGCATGGCGTCTATGCCACAGTGGTTGTCCAAGAGCACAGGGATACATTCCAATTAATTCCTTCATGCAGTAGAAAGAAAAAAGGTAGACTGTGCTTTCTTTTGGAGATTCTCCACACTGCCACGGAATATTAGAAATTATTTCTCATTCTGTCCATGAAAAGGTGGAAGGAGGAGAGACTGATGCAATGTCCAAGCTAAGGCTAAACAGCCTTTGGCACACCAAGGTAGGAAACATTTTCCTGACGGATGTCACATTTGAGGTTGCATCAGAAACTTGTACACATTATTTAACAGCCTCACTCACACACACCCACCTCCACCACGAGGTCCTTCAGTTTGCCAACCTCTTCTCCCAACTTTTTAACACTGCAAATCACGTCTTTGCAGACTTCAATATAACATTCAGTCGGTGCCCACTGCAGGACCATCTGTTAATAATTATAGTTATTTGCCATAATTACATAATTGTAGATTATAATTTAATATTCTACAGTTAATGTATCACAAAAGACAGCGCCATAAAAGGTTTATAACTGCATTTATGCTGGGTTTTAATTGTATGATTTATGCACAACAAGCTACTATTCCCTAGCAGCCTGTATTGGAAACTTTTCTCTCCTTAACTCTCCTATCAGTAGAAACATGAAGAAACAAATCTATCTCCTTTAGTTGTGTGGGCTAACTCTTTGAAATAAATTATTTTTAAGAAATATCCTCTAGAGAAAGAGCATTGGACAGCTTTATAACTACATAATAACCAAGAAGGTTGATGAATATTCATAGTTTTTATTTTGTAAGATGGAATAATGTACTCTAAATCAATCTTCTGTTTGGTTAAATACCTTGTGAGAATTTTTGAGGAAATGGTTATTCATGGTCTGCACAGGAATGATCAGCTTACTACACTCTTTATTCAACTTCTGAAGAAACTTGAGTAATTCATCTTCACTAGAAAAATAAAATGGTATTTTGTTATTTGTCAAATGCTGTAACTTTTTGCAAGTCGAATATTACATATGGATTTTTTGACATTGGCTACTGAGTTAGACATGCAGTTTCATGCATACAAAAAACCCAGTATAATTTTAAAAGCGAGTAGGTAAAGACATTTAACTTCTTAACAAGTTGGGCTTTTCCCCTCACCCCTTGTTTGTCCCGTCCCCTCTCTCTCCTGCCTTATTTTGGAAGGACAATATTTCTGACCTGCAGCTTACATTTTTGAGGTAGATGTGAGAGAAAACATCTGGTTTGTACTTTGGAGCTAGGACTGAAATGACTAAGTTTAGGGTCATTTAGTCTCCAACAGAGTTGAAGAAAATAAGAATTCAGTAATACTGGCTTGGCCCTTGAATCTGGAAACATATACCTCAGAGCCTAAAATATCTGATGTTATCTATTTTGAAGAAAATTTTTACTTGGTGCTCAAATACAAGCAGGAAGACAACTCTCAAAATTATTATGACCCATGTCTCCAAGAAGTGGAAAGAAGGATAGAAAAATTGAACAGATTATTTTCAGCTTTAAGTTTCTAGAGCTGCCACATGACACTGACTCAACTTTAGTCATAAGTCATTATGCTGGCCAGAAATTTGTTGCCACTCACCAGGAAGAGGGAAAGAAGGCAAGGAAGAAGATGATCCAATTATTTTTACTGAGTAAGCTCTCAGATCCTGAAACTCCTGAGAAGTGTCTGCATCTCCTATAGAAAGTTTCTGCTAGCTCTGAGCTATTTGGGTGAATAACAGGCAGGGCCAAAACAAGAGACAATTACCAGTTCCTACTGCAGAAACTCCTGTTCTGCAGATGCATAAGATCTGAATAAACTAATTCAGACTCCAACATTCCTCCCTAGGCAATGTGCTATTAAAACTAAATGCAACATACTCACACCACTTGCTTCTTGCTTCTGAAGGCAGAAAGGTATCCACAAAATTTATCAAACAGCTAAACTAAGCTACACACCAATGCAGTGCAAGTATCTAAATGAAGATGGAATTTAGGCCATAGAGTGTTTTCTTTCAATTTTGGGCACAGGATCATTAGTGAGTAAAATTTTTGCCACTGCTCAGGACATCTATGATTTGCAACAGTGCTGAACTGTTAAGACTTTAATATTTAGAACAGAAACATATAGAAGCATTAATAGGTGCGCTGGAGGTTTAAAACCAATACTGCACATGGTTTTCATGAAAATGGGGAAGTACAAAAGCCTATTAGTTTGTTTTTATAAAATAAACTACTGCTTGTTTCAGAACAATGCAATTCAACTGAATATTTCAGGTAAAGAGCTCAAACATTAAACATCTGGAGATAGTCTGAAAGCTTCTCCCACATTACTATAGTCAAGCCATAATCACAAATATTTTCTTCTACTTAGAAAGATAACCAAATTTAAAGTATGTCATGGGCTTGAATTAAGGGGGGGGAAAGAAAAATATTTATTCTATCATATTACTTCACTACACCATAGTGCTTAAAAACTCCCTATTTTCATAGAATTTTACCACAACCAGTAGGTTGTGGTGACATGCTCTTATATTTAGAAATGGAAATAAAGTTTTCAAAAAATTATCACTTCAAAAAAGAATTAACGGCTGTCAAAACATCAGTGGCTAAACAGTGCTAGACACTCCGTAAGTTTATAATCAATCAGTTCAAGATTTTCTACTATGTTAGTTTTTCTATGACTTAATGACTGATTCTCCTTCTCAGAGAATGACTTTGAACAAGTGGGAAGTAAAATCTTTATATAATAGCATGTAAACATAGCCTAAGATTTTGGTCTAAAGGTCAGATGCCTAGAATACATGTCAGACAATTTTCTAGAAAACTATGCAGTGCTTGCCATAACTGAAGTGCTGTCATATTTTGTGTACTTCCATCTTTAATCAATCAATTATTTTCTAGTTTTGAGAACTATGTATGATCTAAACCCCACACTATACTAGGAATAAGGTATACCACCGATGTGTGAGACTGCACCAGATATTGCAGGGGTATTTCACTGTATTTGGCCACACACAGTGAATGGATTTTTTTTGACACTTCTCTACTTACTCTCTCTATTCAAATTTTTAGGCTGCTCTGCTTGAATGTATGTAATAAACACTACTGCGGAACAATCTAAAAAAGCATACATTTTAACATAAAAATGCATAAAGCTTAAACTGGGCAAAGTCCCCTTAAATGGTAGCTAATTTTCGCTTGCTGAAGAGTCAATATCCATTTAAAAGGCACCTAACAGATTCCTGGTCTACCACCTCAGCTCAGCAGCAAAGTCTCTATTTTAATACAAATGTCTCAGATGCTGTTTTTATGGTGTATCCATATCACGCTGGTTTATATCCTCCTGCACGCTGGAAGTTTAGCTCTTCAGTATTGCAGCCCATGCACACATTTGCAGGATTCTGTTTTGAAAGTACACAGTTGTTTTGATGGAGAATTACAGAATCATAGAATAGTTTGGCTTGGAAGGGACCTTACAGATCGTTTAGTTCCATTCCATCTGCCATGGATAGGGACACCTTTCACTAGACTAGGTTGCTGAAAGTCCCATCCAACCTGCCCTTGAACACTTCTAGGAATGGGACATCCACAGATTTCTGGGCAATTCACTCTAATATCCCACCACCTTCACAGCAGAGAATTTCTTTCTTACATCCCATCTAAACCAGCCCTCCCATCAGTTTGAAGCCATTCTTCCTTGTCCTATCACTACATGCCCTTGTGAACAGTCTTTCTCCAGCTCTCTGGCAGGCCCCTTTCAGCTCTCTCTAAAGTCTCCCTACAGTCTTCTCTCCTTCAGGCTGAACACCCTCAAGTCTCTCAGCCTGTCTTCATAGGACTGGTGCTCCAGCCTCCTCGGTCATCTTTGTGGCCCTCCTCTGAACTCCCTCCAGGCTGATGTCCTTCTTATGCTGGGGTCTTGGAGCTGGTTGCAGTAGTCCAGGTGGAATGTCATGAGACTAGAATCCCCTTCCAACCTGCTGGCCACTTCTCTTTTGATGCAGCCCAGGATATGTTTGGCTTTCTGAGGTGCAAGTGCACATTTGTTGGGTCATGTTGAGTTTCTTCTGGGAGTAGAATTTGATGATCCTTGTGGGTCCCTTCCAACTCAAGATATTCTGTGTCTCTATGATTCTTGTCAACCAACACTACCAAGTAAATCTCTTCAGGGCTCCTCTCAATCCATTCTGTGTCCAGCCTGTACTTGTGCTTGGGATTGCCCTGACCTAGGACACTGCAATTGGCCTTGCTGAATTTCATGCACCAGCAATGGGCAGCAATCAGTGTATGAATGACTGGTTGGGAGTAGAATACATACTGGAGAGTCTCATGGAAATGGGACTCTAAAGACAAGATGTGGCAGAATCACATCATGACATGACTGATGCACAGTGTCAGTGCAATTCAGCTGCCTCCAAAGCATGGAGGCACGTACAGATTGAATTTGAACCCAAGAACATTCTTTGGGCCAATAAACAACATAATTAACAGGGACTCCAGCCTTACAGCATTCAAATAGTATAGAAAGCTCTCCGCAGTATTTTGGAGAGGGAAGGGATCTCTTTAAGAGTATCAGCACAGCTAGTTAAGAGGGAGATACACACACTTCAAAGAGGAACTGAACCCTTACTATCTAATCTATTTTTAGTAGCTATACTTCTGTAAGATTGTGAACTAAGAAGAGGAAAGACATGAGCATGGAATTTAAATTGAGGTCTAGTGTGTCTTCCAGTAAAATAAATGTACTTACACATAAAGGATAAGAGATTTAAGAAATCTTAAGGCTCCTTTGTACTCACTATATCCTTCATTCTTCATTTTGTGCTGGATGTGGAGTGCTCTAGCAGGGCTTAGGGAACTTATTAAGTTTAATAAGGTTGCTGAGGAATGCATCTCTCAGCTCAGGCCTGGCTTCCATGGTACTGCACAAGACTACACTAAAAGTATGAGAGATATTGTGAAGCTGATGTCTTAATACTATAATGGGAAAAAAATATCAAGTTGGAATGGGAGTCTGAAAGAGTTACACTTTCTTAAAAAATTTTCCTTAAAAATGTACTGATACATATAATCTATGATAAGGGAAATAGCTTGTAAATTGCTTAATCATTAAGATAAAAAATGATATATTTAGAAGCCGGTTAAAATTGCTTCCATTGGAAGAGAAAAACAATGAAAAAATCTGGAATCTGAACAGAAGTAGCATTTATGATTTAAGATACACATGCACAAGGTATTATTTTAAGAGTTGAAAATTAAAGGCCTATCCAGAAGCAATATGCATCTCTCCCTGCTGCACTTTTTAAAACTGCATCTTACAATCAGACAGATTTGACTGGAAGACTAACAGAGCCTACCTTGTTTATGCTCCCAACTTTCTTTGTGCAAAACACACCCACCACCAGCTCTCATAATCCATTAGCTTGAATATTCTCATTAATATTATGCACTGAGGGATAAGGTGTGAGACAACTTTATCTTTGAGCCACAGAAAACAACATGGTCACCTTAAATAGTTAACATTTCACTTCCATTTCCTTAGATATACCATTAATACCTCAATTCCAGTTTCATAATTTCAGAGACATCTCCAAATTTTTTTTCTTCCACCTGCAGATCGTTAATAGCTTCTAGGAGTTTCTGTTGATCTCCAGGATTTGTAATGCCAATCTAAATTTAAAGAGTAATTTCAAATATGATTTAAATATACTAGACATAGCAGTACAGTAACACATTCCACTAACTTCTAAATATTAAGATTTAAAAGAAATTCTTTTTAAGTAATTGCAACTAGCTACAATGTCTGTAAGCAACAAAGGAAAAAATAAAACCACAGAAAATATTCAATAATGCAGAACAAAATGACAAGAGATGAGGAACTGCCAAACTGAAACTTCACAGGATACCCAGAAAATCTGTTCAGGGTTTATTAAAAAAAATAACAGCAGTTTGCCTAAGTACCGCTGTCTTGTTAGGGTATAAGGCTTTCTATTTCAGAATTATCTGAATCATCTCTGACAGCAAGATAACAAATCATCATGATGGTGATACAGCATTAACTCAGAAAGAAAGAGTGGAAACTATGAAATCAGTATCAAATGGAGAATTTTACAGGAAGACATCTTTTATAACTGAAGGAAAACATAAAAGATTCATTATAATGTAACACATTCTCCAAGTAATGCCTGGAACAGAAAACACTGGCAGCTATGCTATCCATCAAGTATCTCAGATTAAATTTTAAGTCATATTTAAATCCTAGGCTGATAGTTTTCTTGCAGAACACTTAAAGAAGAAGAACAGTTCATTTGTTAAAAGAGAAATGCTTCTGTGGCACGTTCAGTATTTCCCTTGCTCATCTGACAGGCTAGTGTGCAATGCAGGAACTTCTGGTGTTAGCAGCCCTAAGATGCTCCTCAACACAAGTGAAAAACCTCTTGACTTTGCTCCTAAGGGACCAGCTGAGTACCTCACTCAACAGGAACAGACCACTCTGGCATTTAAGACTGCAAGGATCTCAGAGTCTTCAAACCTAGACTATATGGGACTCTCGCTGATTCTGAGGACTTGAAGTTACCTTCTGGACCCTCAGAAATCTGGAAGATGTTAGTGTTTGCAGTCTCCTGGATTTCTGTCAGAAAGAATTTTGAATGAACAGCTGATAACCACATCAGATTGACATTCTAGGGAAGAGTTGTGCCTTGGGAAATGCCTGCTTTTTTTGAGACCCATTGTTCTGACACCCATTGCACATTGTAACTGCATAAAACTGTCCTCCAGGTTCTCCACCAATTAGAGGTAACAAGCAAGTATGGGCTCACAAGTGTACCTTTAAACATTCGAAAGCATGTTAAGTTTATAGACAAGTAAGTTCTTCAGTAATGAAAACTCCCAACAAGATTGGGAATTGGGAATTTAACTACAGGTGTCAAGAACTTTGGAGTTTTTAATAGGTTTCCATGGGTCCCCGAATAAGTTGTACTGAAGTTTTTTTAGCAAATATCACTAGCAGCCTTAAGATAGAAAGATCTGAGTTTCCTATACCAGCCCTATCTGGTATGAACTAATACTTTTTTAAGGCTTACAAAGCAATCATTTTATCATGAACAAGTAAGTGGACCTCTACAATAGCAGTTATTCTTGAGGAATTAGAAGTATCTTGCTTAAAGTAGGAACTATTGTGAAGACTGCCTTTGCTTTTGACTCCACCTTCTCATTCCTGAAACCAGAAAATCAGGATACAGCTTTCTGACCAGCATATCAGGAAGACATACTTTGTTCCCCCTAGAAATAAAACCTAATTTTGTTCTTCTGCAAATGGATCACTGAGCACCACCACATCTTGAAAATATGTGTCAGGAAGTAAAGAACATACTAAATGTCATGATAGATAAAGCCTTCTACCACCACATTAATTCTGCATTTAGTGGTAAAAGGTGCAGAACTTAAGAGACAGATTGATCAGTCCAAACTACTTCCCCAATTTCTCGACCATCTCTGCAAGAACATGAAGTGACCCAGAACCTGACTGTTCATGCAATAATGAATGCATGGAACAACCACAGTGCAGTAAGACCTTCTTGATGGCTAAATTAATTTTTAAGTTGGTATTGGTTCACTTGTGCTCTGCAGTCCAAATTATGCAAGTATTATTATGAAGTGGCTATGCTTAAGAATGTGCAAGTGCTGCACAATGATTTGCTTGTATTTGTAAAACAGACTATAAGCACTCTCAATTTTAGCCAGATCAACTCTAGGAACATGTATTTTATTCTTTACTTAAATACATACAAAGTAGCCCCTCAAAATCCAAGCCTGAAGTTCACTCCAGCATGGACATGACAAGAGGGAGTAAGACTGCCTCAACATATGAAAGATGATATACTGCACAGATAAAACCAGTGAACCCAAACTGCCCAAGTAACCACTGATTTTAATAACGTGACACATTTCTGTCAAATATTAAATGCTTTTTCCAGGGACTGAGAGCAGAGGAATGAGTCCTGGAACTGTGATATACAAGTACATAGACCAGATAATTATCCAATTATGTAGTTAAAGTACTGGATTATATTTTGAAATTTTCATTATTCTCAAATTCAAAACAAGACACCAATTTATCTTATTCTAAACGAAATAAAATGTAAGAAAGAAACCTTTTTAGTTCTAAATGCATCCAGAAGCAAAATTGCTTCTGTTGTTATCTTATGAGAAAAATGCTTAAAACAAAATTAAAAATGTGAGTGTCCTAAGTAGTGCAGACAAAAACCTCCAAATGTTGAATAGACATGTCCCAGCATACTGAACACATTTTTTTCCAGAATAGAACCATTTATAAGCTTAAGGAATGCAAGCTTTCAGCTTGAAAGACTCACTGTTTAGGCTCTGTTGTAAAATACAGATAAAGATATTTACAGAGAAAATATCTCCCTATATTGTTTGATGGAGGAAAGCGTATCATGTTAATGAGAGGATTTCTCCCCAGTTCTCTGGATACAAAGCAGCTTGGTTCAGAGGCATCCATCAGAGGTCATCATTAATCTTTGTAGTAATAAGATCCAGGTTCTTCAAAACAGTTCGCTGTTAGCTGAAAGTCTGCCATCACAGTAAAAACTTTCAACTCTGAAGTTACAAGGAAACAGATTAGATTTGTTCTATCAGCAGCGTGGGGAGAAACCGTTAGCAGAGCTCTAAAACTAGACTGCATAAAGAATTTAGGATAACTTATGAAGTGCTAATAAGCCAGGAGTGTTATGCCATTTTTTAACTTCTCAACGGAAGACTCACTAATTAATTTATGTCCATGCACAAAGCATGACTTACTTTTGAGCAACTGTTTCCTGCTGTCGCAAAGCTAACAGACAAAGCAATTAAATTCTTACAGATATTATCTTCCTGTGTAGAAGCAGCTGATCCATGCAGTTATTTCAGTTTGCTCAAAGCTTTGTTTGCTTTTATAATAGCGAGTCTCAAACAATTTAGAATACTGAAACAGAAGCAATGATTTTGAGAGAAATTACACCTCTTTGGAGAGGGAACCATAAAGCTTAGCCATTCACTGAAGTCCACAAGTCTCTCCTCTTCCCCCAATGTTTCCTGGTCAAAAACAAGCAATAACTACAATGCCAAAGCAAGTGATCAATATGATCATACACGCAGACAGATTTACAGTTTAATGCAACCACTGCAAACATAGCAGCTCACGCAGTAATGAGAAGAAATCCACAGGAATCTCCTTAAAGGCCAAAACTACTATCAATAGGGGCTTAAGAGCTCTAAAAATCCCAGGACACCAGGATGCTGTCCAATGATCCTGAGGCTTCAGAAAAGCAGTAACATCAAAACACACCGACATGTCTTACACCTAAATGAACTCTTAAAAATCTCTTCATAGACTAAGCTCCCTATATGAACACCCCCTGAGAATGCAGAATGACTTGTGAGTTCTGACAGAAAAACTGACTACAAGACAAAACATCAAGCAAAACAATCCTTGTTGATATCCATTTTAAAGGAACACAACATCGGATCCAGCTGCCAGAACACACACCTCCTTGGTACCAGGATTAGGAGAAAAAAAGCTGACACCAAGGACATGGCTAGCACCAGTAGCATGGAGCAGTCTTGAAGCAGGTGTTTTTACGAGGCGTCTTTGGAATCCCAGACCAGAGATTCCAAAGCTCCCCAGTATAGAGTGCTCAGAAGAATCCTGCAGCCTGAAGTACTTGTGTTGTTCCAATGAGACTCCTATAACTGGATTTTATTATAGCATCTTCCTGTAAGCACAGAAAGTCCTTTCACTCCCGGCAGGAAAAAATCCAGCAAAAAATAAAGAAAAGCAACCACGACATCTCAACTGAGAACTGAAGCCTTTTAATAATGCATCATTTAGTCAATAGACCAACTTTGCAACAGCAAAAGACCAATCTTTCCAGCTGCAGTAAACTCTAAGAAACAAAATCTTCTCTTTTCTCCCTTTTTTTAGGGGGGGCCTAAGATTTTATAGACTTGCTCAGGATATGAGATTCTACAATTTAAGCAATTGTAATGTAAGAGAGCTCTTCTTCCTCCAACAAAAACTACCACCTCACAAAGGAGGACCACATCTAAAGCAATTGTTTCGTATTATCTACTGCTAATCCTAGCACTGAGTTCCCTTCAGAGATATCACAATTAAAAATTAAAGATGGTAACAACTAAAATTTAAACTATTTCCTGCTCACTCCTGATCATTCATTGATCTGTGACATTACATACTTCAGAAAAAGCTTGTCTATATTCACATTAAAATTCAAGAAGTTGCAGAAGATGCTGAAAGAATTCTTCCAAGGTTAGGTATTTATAACAAGAAATTACAACATTAAAAACATTTTACAAAGAGGATAAAATAAAATTAAATTCTAAAGCAGTAAACTGACCTGTATTAAGTCATCTTTTTGCATGGTCAGAAGTTGTCTTAAAGCTATATCTTGTTCCTGTATAAAATAAAGGGGTTTATGCCGTCAAAAAGAATTTCAGAGTAAGTTTTGACTTGATTTTCTTCCCTGTTTTACTTCAGTTTAAAGGAACAAAACCAGCTACAAAACATCATCACTGAAGCAATAAAAGATCTCTCTAATTTAGAAACATCAAATCTTGTGACTAACACACATAATCAAGAAATCCAATTTAGTCGATTGCAGTTTAACTTCCCATTATATAAATAAATTTCTGTTTAAGGAATTTATTTGAATTAATATATTAATGGTAATATAACTTCTTTATTATGCAGTAGGTGCATTTTGCTTTCAGGGATTACTTCACAGGTAGCAAATATACTATAAAATTACCTTCAATAATTCTCTAATATGTTCTAGACCAAGGCCATGCAAAAACACTTCCATGTCATGAAAAGCTGAACAGGAACTGTAAAGATAATTAATGAGATTGGAGTTAGAAACTGTGGAAATGAAAAAAAAAAAAATTGAAAAAAGAAAAAAAAAAAAAAAAGGAAAAAAAAAAAAAGCCATCCATAACAAAACGTTAAAGCTCCCCAGACACAGCATTTGGGAGGAAACTGAAGTTGCACACATCTGCTGATGACAGAAGTACCTTATAAGCATACAAGTTATCTATCAAAATTCTGTAGATGTCTTTTTTGTCCAATAAGCTGAATTGAACCCAAAGAGGATGACTTTCATACATAAAGGTTATTTTAAGTCACAAACCATTCCAAATGAACTTTAAAGTTGGGTCACAAAAACCTGAAAAATGTGGAAGTGGGGTTAAGGAAGATAATTATGTATTCTTATCAGATAACATTCATATGAATTAGATTCAGTCCACAACTGGTACCCTTTCAGTTCCAGTTAAGCCAAAAAAGATTATCAAAATCAAAAGAAAACAGGACTGTCTGTAATTAAAGATAGTGGAAATTACTCCATCAAGAAACTTGTCAGAAGACTGCTGTTCAGAAGGTAGACTGAGGAAGTAGTTAACACTGAACTGTAGATTCAGAGTTCAACATTTATAAACAAATATGAAATATCAATTTTGATTCCCCACTCTATCAAGGGATATAAAAGTATAAGAGAAAAAATAACTAAACAGCTTTCAACAAACAGATGAACTCTAATAAAAATAATTAAATGGAAGAGTAAATCCAACAAAATCTTGAAAGGACTACTGCATTTGTTACAACACATCTTTAGCCAAAATCCTGGGTTATGGCATAATTTGCTCTGTCATGTTGAAGGCCCTGAAATGAATGTCTGCCTCTTCTTCCCCGAAGGAAGACTGAAGGAACATCTTGAGTGCCATCACATGATGGCACAGGGGAGCTAGGGAATCGGGCCCAGCCAGCATGGGTTTAGGAAAGATAGGTCGTGCTAGACCAACATGACCTCCTTTCAAGACAATGTGACCCACCTAACATACGAGGGAAGGTTGTGGATGCTGTCTATCTGGACTCCAGTAAAGCCTCCAATACCGTGTTCCAAAACATTCTCCTGGAGAAGCTGGAAGCCCACTGAGTTAAAAATTGGCTGCATGCCCAGGCCCACAGAGTGGTGGTGAATGGAGTAACATGCAGCTGGCAGCATTCCCCAGGGCTCCGTGTTGGGGCTAGTCCTGTTTAGTAGTTTATTGGTGACCCCAACGAGGGGATTGAGGGTACCCTGAAGAAGTTCACACATGACATCAAGCAGGGTGAGAATGTTGATCTGCTAGAAGGTTACAACGCTCTGCAGAGGGATCTGGACAGGCAGGATTAATGGGCCAAAGCCAGTGGTATCAGGTTCAATAAGGTGAAGTGCTGGGTGCTGCCCTTTGGTCATAACAACCCCATGCATTGCTACCATCTGGGGGAAGAGTGTCTGGAAAGCAGGCCAGCAGAAAAGGACCTTGGGGGGCTCACAGACAGCTGAGTATGAGCCAGTGTGTGCCTAGGTAGCCAAGAAGGCCAATAACATCCTGACTTGATCAGAAATTGTGCAGCCAGCATGACTAGGGAAGAGATTTTCCCCCTGCACTCAGCACTGGTGAGGCCACACCTCAAGTTCTGTGGCCAGTTCTGGGTCCCTCACTACATGAAAGACACTGAGGGGCTTGAGCATGTCCAGAGAAGGGCAATGGAGGTGGAAAAGGGTCTAGAGAGTGAGTTGTTGAGGAGCAGCTGAGGGAGCTGGGGTTCTTTAGCATGGGGAAAAGGAGGCTCCGGGGAGACCTTATCACTCTACAACTGCCTGAAAGGAGGCTGTAGCCAGGTGGGGGTTGGCTTCTTCTCCTAGGCAACTAGCAACAGGACGGGAGGTGACACCAGGGAGGTTCAGGCAGGATATCAGGAGGGATTTCTTCACTGAAAGAGTGGTCAAGCACTGAAACAGGCTGCCCAAGGAGATGCTTGAGTCACCATCCCTAGAAGAGTTCAAGAAATGACTGGACGTGGTGCTTAGCATTAAGGTTTAGTTGACATGGCAGTTTGGTCAAGGGTTGGCCTCAATGGCATTGTTTTCCAACCTAAATGATTCTAGGATTCTAAAAACAGAATCTTGTGAGGCTTCGCCTGAGGTACTCTGTCTGAGACTACCTCACTGTGAACTGCTATGAGCCCATCAGCCTAATGCTACAAAACTAGAGAATTCCAGATGCAGCAGGACTGGCTCAGCAGAGGCAATCTGATCACTAAGAACAGACTATGGGCACTGCAAGCCATCTTTTTTTAAGACCACGCAGGTGAAGGACACAAGCGATGATTTGCTGAGGACTTCTTAGTCAAGTTCTTGTACAAAATTGTATCAGGAATCTCTGAAAATTGCTGAAGCAGGTGCTGATTTCAGGCATAGGGCACCTTCGAGCCTCAGGGCCAAGGCACACTCTGCAGAAGCTTCCAGAGCTTAACTGCTGTTCATACTTAATTTTAACTCTGCAACTGATTCAGGAAAAAAGAAAAGGGCATAGCTCTTCTTGGTAGCAATGAAGCTGAACATAGGCATTCAGTGAAAGCATCAAAAATTTAGCATCAAATGAAGATAAGCACAGAACAAGAAGTATGCAACAGAGGAGCATACAAATTCAACAGAGCTGAAATGAACCTAAGTGACATTGGACCCTCTCCTGTACTTTATACTAAATGAGAGGAAAGAAAAGTCTAGAGCAGGCTTTTTGTTTATACTGCCAAGGAACTTTGCAATCTTGAAAAATTGATAGTACATTAATATACTTACTGTGGACTCTTGGTAGCACTCCAAACAAGACACATTATGTATCAGAACAACTTAATCGTTGATATGAACAAATACAATCTCTTAGGAATGTTTATAAGCTAAAATTACACTACAACTGTATTTACCCAACACTGTGGTCAGAGACGGCTGTCAGAAATTTGCAGATAGCCTCTTGATCAACTGTTTTATGGTATCTCCCTTGCAAGTGATTTGCAGCCAAAGAGAGCAAACTAAATATCTGGAAGAGTCAAAATGAATTAATTATTATTAAAACTCAAAATGCATAAAAAATATATGGGAGTAAGATTACAATCAATTACTACTTACAGACAACATGAAACATCTGCCACTTCTCTAAAGCATACATCTATAACAAGAAGTTAAGACTACACTAAGAGTTTGCCAAGAGTGTTTTGAATTAACCAAATTCCTGCACAACGATGAACACAGAGCACAGTGGTGTCTATCATATGGTCTAAACAACCATCTGCCACTGCAGAAAAAGCCAAACACCAACACAGCAATTTTTTCTGCTTGCAGACAAGTCTACATACTTAATGTAATAAGTTCTCTAAAGAACAAAAGGCATATAACTCTTAACGTCTCCATTTCCAGTGCATATATAAACAACATTTATCAATTTACAACTGACAATCTAAGCTGCCTATATCTGACAGACAGGGATTCTCTCAACTGATTAAAGAAGCCTTCTGTTAGGCATCACTATGCAGTAGTGATGGATTGCAGACATTGAACTACCTCTGTGTGGGTTTTGAGACAGCTACAAGAAAATTCAGCAAAAGAAGCAGAACTTCAATAAAGCTAAAAGAATGGTGAAACCACTTGCCTGGAATTTAAAACTGAACTAGCAAGTTTTATATACATATACACAAGTATGTGGCCGGCAAATAAGCTCCTACTATGGCCAGCAGGATGGGGGAGAACAAGAAGGGTAAAAGTGAAAAAACTTTACACGGACTGAGATAATACAACTTGATATGTGAAGGGGGAAAAAAAACAAACCCAGAAGATAAGCAGGCACATACCACCTCCCACCAGCAGACCAATGTGCAGCCACTCTCCAATTTTATTGCTGAGCATGATGTTATAAGGCACGGATACCCCTTGTATCAGCTGGAACGAGCAGCTCGGGGCTGTGCCCCCTCCCAACCTCCTGCTCACTCTCAGCCTACTTGCTAGAGATGGGGAGCAGAGTGAGAAACAAAGATAGCCTTGATTCTGTACAAACACTGCTCAGCAATAGTTAAAACACTGGCGTGTTATCAACACAGTTTTGCCCACAATCCTAAAACATGGCACCATACAGGCTGTTTGGAAGAAACATAACTTCCAGTGAAATCCAGAATAATACAAAAGAAAAATATTTTCCCCCCCAGAAACAGTTTCTGCAGACATCCTCCATGTGCCAGCCTCTTGGGCTGGCAACAGTCTGAAAGCAGACACTGAAGCTGGAAGAAGCTCATGACCATTAAATATCTCAATATTACCTGCAAGACTTTACACCAATTGTGTGAAAGTTAGCACTTCATATCGAGAGGCAAGAGCCATCCCTCAAGTGTGACAAGCCTGTATTCTCTCCATGTCAGAGTAAGTCATGTTATAAGATTGTATGGCTGTAACCTGCTGAACAAGTTGTTTATCAAAGGTAGAAATCATTTGTAACCCTTTTCAGTAACCTAAGATAGCAGATCACTGAGACACAGATTTTGCTAGCTTCCACTGAGAGCTCTGTGCACAGTTATCATTTTTGTTCCTGTCTAGCCCTTCTGGCAGAAAAAAAAAAAAAAAAAAAAAAAAAGGTAAGAAGCTGTAAACTACAATTTCACTAAGAGTGAATTACACATTTTTGAAGAATCAGTGTAAAAAGCCACATCACTGGTAAGTGCAACTCAAAACAAAATACACAGGAATACGGTCTGACTAATCCACCATCTATCATCTGGTAACAACATCAAACATATTTATTTTAGGAGAATGCAAGTTGTCTTCAGTAGCTCCCTACATTGGTAATTAGCGACTGCCCTTTCCAAGATCAGATGGCCAATTTACATTATTTTACACCTTCCTCCAGAGATCAGATTTTGAAAATGGCCAGTACCAACTCCTCTCTTTTCTGGCTTTAGCCTTTTCACTTCCAAACTCAATGAGAAACTATACTCTACAAATCAGTTTGGTATCTGCATTCATTCTCTCACATACTTTGGCAGATAGGCAACAAACCACGTATTTTTCTACTTCTCATATCAACACTGCAAACATGAATAATACCTTGTTTTGTATTCTACATCTAAAGCCAATGATTCTGAAAGAATAAAGAAAAAAGGTTTCCAAAACACTGCAATATAGCCTTAACAGCACTGTGAAAAGCTGTGACATAACAGAAACAGTCTGCTATAAAAAATAAATGTAACAGCACTTGTATTCAACTAGCTGCTATAATGTAATTATTAAAGCAATGCTTCTACAGAAAATTACATAATTAATGAACAGATTTTTGACACAAAACACAGAATTTACATTTCTAAGAGAAATTAAATACCTCTAAGTGTTTATTGAGTTTTGCTAGCTCTGCTGCTGTCTTTTCATCCTTGGTCTGTAGATTTTTATCAGCTCCTAGCTCAAGCAACTTCAAAATTACACTTTTATGTCCAAGCTGCGCTGCCCATATTAATGCCTGCAAAGAACAACTTTGTTTTACCAATTTTACATACGAAGAAAAATAAAGCACGGCCCAACATGGACACAAACACAATTAATGCAAGAGGATCTCAAAGTAGTGTTAAAGCAGAAAATTCTGAGGAATGTTTCTCACAAAGCTGTACTCTGAAACAAGCTCATGGGTACTTGCATTTTAAATTTTTTATCATTAAATACAATACACAAAATAAACCACTTACTGTATATCCATTTTCATCTTGGGCATTTATGTGTGATCCATGAGCAACAAGAAAAGCAACAACTCGAGGATAGCCTTTTCTAGCTGCATACATCAGTGCAGTCATTTGTTTCCTGAAAGAAAAGGTACCAGGTGAAATAAAGCACGTCAAAATCCAAAAAGAAAAAAAAGGTAGCACACTTCTATTTTCACTTAAAAAATTATTTTTAAAAGACACAGCCTAAGTGATGCGTTCTACAGGCAGACTAATATCAATTCAAAGTTTGGAGAAAATAGGCAGTTTCATTGTGGGCAAGATGTAAATCACAACTTAAGAGAAAGAATATTAAAAACAACAATATATTCATAAATGCAAAACCCTCTCTGGTAGAATCAGTGTAAGCAAAAGAATCACAGATCAAACATCTCTTCCTGCTGTGCAGAGGCATGATGCAATAGGAGAGGCTGCACACCTATTACTAACAGTCAGGACCACCCCCACCCTGACTCTGCCCAAGAGAATTACATGTACAGGTAATACTATAGATCTTAGCTTTTCAAGTACTAAAACAAAACAGAATCATAATATTTTTGCGCTTTATCTGATTCTGTTCACAGAAGTTGCATCAGAGAAGGCTCAGAAAAGATACTAAACTTTTTGTTTTCCCCACTTGATGAGTGGTTAGGCATTGGTAGAGTTGTTCAGGGAAGTGGAAGAGTTACTGTTCCAGGAAGTGCTCAGAAAAGGTCTGGATGCAGCACTTTGGCAGGCAGTTTAGGGGTGGTTATGGTAATGCCAGCTTGATGGTCACACTATATGATCTTGCAAGTCTCTTCCAATCTTGCTGACTCTATGATTCTATAAAGTGTATCTGTTGATACCTTCTTTCCTACACAGACTACTGTTTCCTACAGTTGCTGAAGGAGTACTTAGACACCACCCTTCCCATTACTCTGTTTTTTTACATCCCAAAACCATGAGGACAACAGTCTACTGATTTTAGGGTGATTCCTAATGATGATATATCCCATTATCATCTGTGCCCTGAAACTGTTACTGTATCTTTAAGACCCAGCAGCAGAGGACCTGGGGTGTGTGTGTGGAGATTGCTTTTATGCAGGAGTTTTTAAAAGCTCTCCAGCAAGGTTTCTTGGGTTTCTTCCAAGTGTGGTAATTGCATCACCACCTGCTCGATCTTTGCTCAGGTAATGTTTTTTCTTTCTGTTTTGTTGTTTGTTCCTCCCCCCTCCCCGGCTCAGAGAAGCTGCAGGAGCAACCTCTGAGCTACCTTGAGGGTGAATTCTGCAGCTGCCTGTCTGAAAAACCAGGTGGGCACCATGCTGGCAGAAGTGGAGCAGAGCCAACCTGCTCCAGCCCAAGACACTGTTGACTGCATCCAGCAGTGGAGAGGATGCACTGAGTGGCTCCAGCCCAGCTGTTTTACCTGTTGTGCCCACTCTGCTGTGCCTTGCCATGGGGAAGCTCTGCTGCTGGAACAGCTCTGTGAGGCTCCTGCCTTCCAGGGAGAGCTCTCATGCCATCTTGTCACTCTGTCCTACAACAATTTAAGTTCTCCTGCTGGGCTCATTTCGGGAACAGGTAGTTTCCTGCATTTCAGCTCTCTCTTTGTTGCAGTGGGGTATGAGGTCTAGCAGTTCTTTACTTTTTTTCCTCCCATGCCTCTCTGTATTCTGTTGTTGGTAAACCACTGTTTTTTCTCTTTCATCTACTATAATTAATCTCTTATTGGTGGAAAGAGATTGTTGAAATACTTAATGGAGATGCCTCATTCCAAAGTGTTCCCCTTTGAATTGTCTCAAACCAAGACACAATCTTATGCTTCTAGAGATGCTTACAAGATGAAGATTGTGAAATATTGTTCAAAAGCTTCTGTTTTCAAACCATCTTTCCAGATGCCTGACACATTCTTGGTTAAATAAGATTGCAGAATTAAGGGAAAAAAGAAGGCAGTATTGGAGGAAAAAGACTGTCGAGTTTCTGGCTGCTACTAAGTAATAAGATTCAATCTAAAATACTTTACTACTGTTGTTTAATTAAAATCTATTCTATTTTGGAAAGCAGTAATTTTTCATGAAAAATATATATTTCTTGTAATGTATAGCTCCATGTCAAAAACCTGCTTGCTAAAGATTATTCTATTTTGTTAGGATATACCTGAGGGGAAGACTGTTCTTCCCAATACTGGGTTTCTTAATACTAAGTTCATCGACCACTAGAGGGATCCCCAAATTCATATGTGTTAAAGCAACTGCCTTAAAATTTCTGCCTCCTTCCAGAGAGCATTGCTAGAACTAAGGCTTTGCACATCTTCCTTTGGTTTCAATCATTCATACAAGGATAATGTTTTGTCTTGCACAAACACAGTTACAAGTGCACTGAATGAAATCCAGTAACTTTACAGATTTGAAACGACCTTATGCTAGGGGAAAAAGGTCAATCACACAGAGATAAGCAAAATTAAAGGTAACCAGACCTTCAAGACATACAGTCAACAACATAAAGGAACTTGGTAATGAAGCAAATGCAATGCATCAGTCTAGAACTAACTTAGTTCATCAACACTACAAAAGCAGAAGTTCTGACTGTCTGTGAGGAGACATTTCACCATTTCAGCCAATCAGTGGAACTGGTTGCACAGAGAAGATTTTTAGTCTCCATCTTTAGTGGATTTCAAGACCAGATGGCAACTTAGCCCAATTTTACAGCAGACATACCTTTAAAGTTGGACTAGAAACCTCCTCAAATCCCTTCTTTCCTGAATTACCCTGTGAACCTATGAAGATTACTATAAAAAGAGAGAGACTGTAATCCCAACCTTCAACTCAGTAACTGATGTCTATCTCACTATCTCTATAGGTCTCTACAGAGATGTCTATACACAGGAATCTATATTTTAAAGAACGAGCAGAAGTTGATTATAATCTAGTAATTTGCAGCAACAAAATTCAAACTTGTTTGCCCAACATGGACATTCACTCCCAACATTTATTTCTTTTCAGTGGTAGGTAGCCTTTGATGAACTTCCCATACCATCACCTTGGAAGTATTTACTATTTACATCTGATTGAAAAACCAGTCCAATCACGTCTGATTTCATTTTCATTTCTCCCGCTCTCAAACTTTTTTAAAAAAATTTGATACTACTTCACAATTATCTTCTGCTTTTTCAAAGGAAAAATACTAAACAAAAGCCTTGAGGCTACAGAATAGTCTTTTCTCCAAAGAATATGATGTAGTTACAGTTATATAGTACTGCAGGGATGATATCTCAAATCAGCCCAACAATTCAATTACACTAAAGCCACTAAAATAACTGCTCTATTTGCAAGTAAAACTCAATAAATATAACATTTAAAAGGTCCATTAACATGATTGTGCAATTAGTACTGCAAGCATTCCATGTTAATACTTGAGTTTTAATTTCAAAGAATACAAGCTGTTTCAGGAGAGAAACACATGCACAAATGTACACCTCTACATGCAAGGGGGTGCCCTGGGCCACCCTATGAAAGCAGCGTACAGCTGCTGTATGTACAGCCACAGGAGGGAGACAAGAGCATTGGGGAAAACAAACTTCATTTTCCTAACCCTGCAATGAACCCCCACAACCACAACAGCAAGCTTTAACATGGCAAATCCACTGGTTTCCTGCTTCAGTTGAAGAAAAACTAAACGTATTGGTACATATAAAATCTGAAAATGTTCATAGAGAGCGTAATGATAATCATCCAGACAGATCTTAAGTATCCTGTCATCATTTTGAGGAACTGCTATGTTTCAGCAGTCTGGCTCGCAGGTGACCTTCTTGCCCAAACACCTATTGAGTCTTTTTGTATGGTACAATTTGCCACGTGACTTTTTTCCATATTGAATAAGATACTCAAGTCATAGTCAGTAAATAAATAAAACCTTAAAAGGCATATAAGCAATTTATTAATTAAACATCTAACTATGTTTGCTTCCCGTTTTGCAGCACCTATGTAAAAAGCAGGGTCTCATGCACATGAGGAGAGATTTCTGTTCGTTTGTTTTTATCTTTAGAGTCACAGAAAACTCTGAGTTGGAAGGGACTCACAAGGATTATAGAGTCCAACTCCTGGCCCTGGACATGACAAGCCCAAGAATCACACCACATGGTTGAGAGCATTGTCCAGATGCTTCTTGAGCTCTGTCAAACTTGGTGCTATGACCATTTTCCTGGGGAGACTGCTCCCATGCCCAACTACCCTCTGGCAGATGAACCTTTTCCTAATATCCAACATAAACGTGCTCTAACAGCTTCACGCTCTAAGTCTCCCTGCTTTTATATTAAGACTGGAGAAAAAGACAAAAATGGAAGCTTTTTCAGTTTTCAGGGCCATCTGAAAGTTTGTATGTGACTTGTACACAAAGATACAACTAGAAGTTCTTACAGGCTCACTTCACCTTGTGGAAAAAACAGGGCAAAATTTATATCACAGGACAACAAGCTGAGCAGAACAGACCTACTACCCTGAAGCCTCCTATCCTGGATAATGAGGACCCATGACAGAATTGGGGATAAAGTTTTATCTCCTAGATGGCAAGCATCTGACTCAAAAATGTATTGATTGAATAGCTGCCACTAAACTGAATCAGTGGTACAGAATTCACCACACTTGACAACTAAACATGCTTATATTTGGGATCACAATCTCAAGCAAGACAAACCTCACCTTCCTGGAAAATTTCATAAGAGGAAGGAAAGGAGATGTCTCCTATTTACACAGGTTTCTTTCCACTGGGGAGACATCTAAAGAAAATTCAGTATTTAAAGTCGGTGGTCTTGACAAGTTGTTAGTAAAGTGTCATAACTGGATATGTATTTATTAACTAGACCAGTGTATCGATAAAAAAAAAATACTTGAAAAAATACAGCAGGTCGAAAACAATTTAACTCGGAGTTTAGTCTCAATCTTTTCTTATTGAGATCTCAAAGCAAGAAAATGATGCTGCAAGACACTATTTTAGTCTATTGATCTGTAAACTGAACAATGCCTCAGATAAACAGGAAGCATCTTGAGAAGCTTTTGAAGCCAGTTTCCCCATTCCACTGCTGCACATTAAGCCTGGAACTGAGAAATTAAGTGGAAACAGTGTGTTCACAGCAACAGAAAATAATCTATTTGCCCATTTTCTGGCGTAGTGGGATTTAGTGATGAAGTGGGAAACCCTATATAAAAAGTAGTATCGGAAGAACATACTTTAGTATAACTTTAGGAAAACACTGCAGGTTAAAAAATGTTTTTTAAAAACACTACTTAAAGATTTCAAGGCCTTACAAAGGGATAAAGTATATATTTTACATTTTGGAGCCAGAGGAAGGTGAATGACATGAGATAAGCAAAACAAATTTCTCAAGGTAGCACTCACTTAAATGAAGTATTCAGGGCTATAGTAGCTCTACAATGGCTATTCAGAGCAGGTCTTACAATGCCTTCTTGTTTCACCTAGCCATTACTCTACTTGTTTGACTTTCAAAACCCTTTAGCTACCACTTATGCTTTGATACACTACATTCTCATCAACAAAACTGTTTTACCAGCCACCAGTACTCAGTTCCCAATTTTGATTTAGCAAAAATATCTTTAGTTATCCTAAATACTGAACACTTTCTTCTCAGAACCGTATTCCCTTGCAAAGAAACCATCTACCTACCCATTCCTAAACTCATCTTCTTTCTTTGCATTCCAAAAATCCGTTTCTTTCCCACTAGTCCTTCCCCACGCCACACACACTTAATGAATCAGATCCACTCCCTCCAAGTTTCTGTGTATCACCTCCAGATGAAATGAAATAAAAGAGCCTACTGGTTGCCCTGATGGTGCAACAGAGAAAGGACAACTATTAAACCCTGCCTTAAACAAAGGTCAAGTATTCTGCTTTGCATTTACACATATTCTAGTGCCTGGGGGACGAAAGAGAAGCTTCATAAAATCATTCTGGTTCTTACATGCTGAGAAAGCCAATTAATGAGAACCTTAGTTCTTCACCTGAAGTAAACTGATCACACAGGAAGTACTTTCACAATAATCTCAACTCACTGACAGTTCTGATCACTCCCACAGAACATCCTGCTTGCTCTAATGAAACAGGTAAAATGGGATTGCAGTGCCACAGAGAGGAGCTGTTTGATCCCTTATGGTCACATAAGGCAGTTTATTGTTTTATTCTCACTTCTGAACACAGAGCAAGAAGTCCATGAGAAACAGCAGCTGTTGCCCGAGCAGATCCAATGATGGAGGGGCATGCACATATGTCAAATACTGGAAAGCCATAAAGGCAGCACAAAGGTTTGAGGCGACAAGGTCTGGATTTTTCAAGCCTCTGCTTTTATTTAGCACAAATATGGCATTTCTGATTGTCACGTAATTTATCTTTCCATTTGAGAAATACTACTACTGCAAAAGTGAAAAAGCCACAACCGTACCTGCTGGATGCATGAATAACTCATGTTAGCACAAGGTCTAAGGACACAAAAAGATGGTAGATACTTGTATATAAAGATCAACCATGCAAAACATACTCTAAGTTTATAAATAGAAGTTTAAAATTAGAATTCCTACCGCCTGTGTCAGCATTCACACTTTTTTCCCCCAAAGCTGAACCAAAGGCCTGTCCAAATGCAAACCTGCAGCTCCACACTCTCGCTTATATTTCCAACACCCAAGACAAAGTTAGTAATGCAAAGACTTCCCCTGTTTTTTAAAGCAGGATCCCAGCTATATGACAACAAGATGTAATTATTTCAGAGTGTGTAGCTTCCTCTTCTCTTGAAGAATTTCTAGTCTTTCCAATAAGAATAAAAGAATGGCATTGAAATTTGGTACCAGACATCAGTTGCACTTCAGCAGAACTGTTTCCTCCTTGTCTATCAGTATTATGCTCATATGAGATTCAGGCCCTTGAGTAAATGAATTCTACTAAGGAGAACCAAAGGCCTTCAGTTCTATTATTTTTAGAGAGCTACTCAGCCTATATATCTGAGGTAATATGATGAAAGAGGTGTGGTATAAAAAAATAGTGTTAGATGGAAAACCAGTTGACCTAAACAGGGGTTTTTTTTTAGCAAAGGCAATGCAGTTTATCCTGGGGTCAATCCAGAATTGATTTATTTTTGATGTAAAATGAAACATTTCATCAGCCTGTACAACTACAGACATCTCAAAATGCACTGCTTCAAACTGCTGAGATACAAAGTTATAACTGAAGGATGCTATTACTTGTTTCTAAAAGGAGCTTGATCTCTTTAATCCAAATTATTTCAGGTTGCAGTGAATAAATGTATTATATTTACAGAATTTTGTTTTCCACAGGAAGCACTCTGTGAAAAGAATACAGCCAGATACCCACAAAAAGTTCAAAAGTAAAATATGAATTTAAATAAAGAATGAATTGATTTAACTTCATCCCTGTGCAGAAGAGGCAATATGATTTAGGAAAGGCAGAGGATGTATTTCTTGCCCTTATACTTCTGTCAAGGGAATAATTAAGATTAATTTTGATTTTGTTCAGCTGAAAAATATACTTACAATTTGATAAAGCTGATCACAGTCTTATTTACTCAGATTAACAATTGTACTAATAGGTATAAGTATCTGGGTACTAATCTTTTTTTATACAGCAGTGAAATTACAAGAAGTACATACACTTCATCTTCACCACCACCAGCAGCTATGTCTATAAACATGTCTCTGTATAATAAAATTAAATTTTGTACTGTATTCATAGGTGTGGGGTTTTCAATACCTGCAAGCAAGGTTAGGGTCAGCATTCCTTGAAAGAAGCAGTTCGACAGTGTTCAAGATGTTCTCCTCTGAAGCTTGTGCAGCACATGCTGCCATCAACACAGTATATTTATCTGTTTGGAAATTCACAGTTAGAGAATTACATACGTAAATGTAAACAGCATGCTAATCTAGAAGTTCCTTTAAAAGTCTTTATATTTGCTAGAGTTGCTACTGAGATGTTGAAACTCCACAATACTTGGAAAAGGCTAACAATCTTGTTTTCCTGTCTGTGAGAATCACTAGAACGATCAGGTAAGACAAAGACACCTGAGGAGATACTCAGAAAGATGAGACTGAATCTCAGTAGTAAAGCATCTATTCCTACTGAAGTTTAGAATAGCTTGAGAGTACCCCAAAGCTATAATAGGAGCTTTACTATAAATGCTTATTTCTCAAAACACATTCCACACCAGTAGATTCACTCCCTGTTCCTCCCCTCCAGTAAACGGAAGTAACAGCTGCAATGGACAGAAAAAGGTAGATGAAATGTATTATGAACACACAGCAACACCAATTCTGGGGAGAACAGAGGCCCATACAAAAGATACTTGAAGCAAGAGGGCTTCTTAAGGAGGAAGAATTGAATTTATTAATTTGCTATGTCCCAATAGTGGCAGGAGAAGTATTAAAAGTATTGGTTTGGATGAGGATTTAAAGAGCATTTACACAGTCCATAGGAATACCAGCTTATTTACTTCTCTAGCTCTGAAACCAGCTGGGTGTTGCATACCACCTTGGCTAACAAATCAAAACTGTTCAACTGCTGTTTGCCCACAGAACACAGGAGACCTCCTTTCCCGTGATTACCATGGTTTCCATATGGGAAACATAACACCTCAAAGACCTTAGTTGGCCCCAGTGTCATTTAGAAGACTGCCACTTGAGTAACTGCCCATTTTGTTTGTTGCACAAACTTGTTCACAAGTTCCAACATGCCTTCATCCACTTAAGAAGCATAATATTAGCTGCACTTACTTCATATCCTATCAAGTGTTACAACATGTTTTCTAATTTTCTTGTAGAAATTTTAAGACTGTGCATAATTAATATCTTCATTCTTCAATGAGGTCAGATTTCATTATATTTAAAGATGAAAAGTATGTTATGTATGTTACCCCCACTGCTCTCACCACTTCTTGTCCTCCACCTCTACAACTTAGTTCTACATTTAAATTAATTTGGCTTTTTAATACATCATATTTTTATTTTCAACAGCCTCATGTAGAAATTACTTGATATGCTGACAAATTTTTACTCAAAATGTTTAACCTGATTATCAACTAGAAAATGAATGGAAAGATGGCAGGACTTTAAATAAAGCACTGTCAGTCTGGAATGGTATTTGGGAGGAACTTGCAGTTGTATTTGTATTCATTATCTCAGCCAGTGATAAAGAGTGGGAAATTAATTTCTTTAGCCTATCTATAGCTCATACATGTGAGAAAGAGACTAAAGGGAAGAAACACCTTGGAATTCTTAGGTTTCTCTTTTACAGAGAATAACTGAGAAAAGACTACAAAAAAAAATTACATTCAGACTAGATGAAAACTCTAGTAGTCTGGTGAAATTATTCCTTAAGGATGCAACATTTTGAACCCATCACACAGTGAATGATATATTATTTCTTGCTGACTACCAAAAAGGGTAAAATTAAGTAACTAGTTATAAAGAATGACTGAAGAGTGACTCAGGGTGATTAACAGTATAGATGTTTATTACAATTATAAGCATTAAAGGGTAATTATTATAGGATCACTTGTATGATTGCCTGCTGACATAAACAGCAGCAAGGCTGGTGAGATTTAGTACCCCCTTACAATGCACAGCTTTACTGAATATATGTGGCCTGACTCAAATCAATGACTTAAAAACCACTCCTGGCTCGACAGTACTCTGCTGCCCATATTCCCTAGTTACAGTTTCCCTACACATCCTAATAGGGAAACAAACCAAGAAACCTGATCCTAGCAAGGTGCCACTTTGGGCAAAGACAGTTGATCACATAAATGAAAAAATGCCATGCATCTGGTTACCTGGTCAGCCTGAACTATTGCCCATAGTAGTTTTTGCCCCATTTATAGCATTCCACAGCCATAAACAAGGAACAGGTTCAAGCTGTAGGCAGACACATAGAACTCTGAAACTGGCTACAAGGACAGTGGTTAGAAGAAGGCATGACTGCTTTTGGTGTAGGCAATCTACTCGATTCTTATACTTTCACCAACTGCTAAGAGGTTAGAGAAAATTTTCAGAGCCGGATTTGTACCATCTGCATTTCAATCTACTACTACAGCAAATACAGGCAAGTTACTGGAAAATATGATTACTGCTCTTACGTACTTGGCAGTACTGTGGGATAAATATTCCAGTGCAATAGAAGAGATTAAAAATAACCACAATTTAAGTAGAAAAAAGAGTTATTGTTAGGCCAATAAAACTGACAGAGGAAGTGATACTACTTAGAAGCCACAATGAACTCTTGCAGAAAAAGGCGATGTACCAACACAGTGAAGAACAGTTTTCTTAAGAGAAAAGAGAAAAACTGCCCTCTAGTTTTAGAGAAGTCCACATTAGTTTCCCATGAACTGGAAAGCTATTCATGTTGTTTGAGATGTTATCTGGTTTCTGCACGTACACAGGATCAAACACAGTAAGTTTTATTTGTGCAACTTCATACTACAATTTTCGAGCAAGTACTTCCAAACACTTTTTAAAAAAGTACTTGGGATTTGGGAGGTGTGGGGGAAAGTGGAATTGAGAGAGAAAGAACAAGAAAATGCATCAACTGATTCCAGATCAATTCCAAGAACACAGTTGTTACTCTAAAACTACTACTTTTCCTTCAAAACTGGGAAACGTAGAGTGGGTCTCAGTTCCACTGTGAACTCCTGATTTTTTTCCCTACATATGTAAACAAGAGAATAAAGATAGGGACCATGTCTGGTACTGAGCATTATCAGCTAGTATTTTTCATTCCCATCTTACCTATTTCAAAACAGGCATTAGCACCTCTGTCCAGAAGAAGACGTACTACTGCAAAGTTAGCCACACTGGCTGCACACATCAGGGGAGTCCATCCAAACTGAAAGCTAGTTTCTATGCTGATACCTGTCAAAAAATGAAATTAAAATAATGAAACTGCATCACAACAAACATGCCTTTTATAAAACTTACTCTCAATATATATCATTATCAAGGTTACATCCTGTTTGCATTTAGTACAAAGGAGAGAAATATCTTATGGCATTTTTTTTAATACATCTTTATTTAGAACACCAAAAAACAACTTTTAAAACAGACATTAATGTAGCCCAGTTCTCAATCCAAGGAGTTAAGAACCACAGAAAGACTCTATTAAAAACCTCAAACATTTAGCTGCAAAAGTAATTTCATATAAGCACACAGAATCTGTTGTCTCTACTTCTGTGCCACAGCTTTATTCAATCAAAATGGAAAAAACTGACTCTTTCCAAGCCAAGAAGACTGCTGTGGAAGCAAATTGCTTGTCAGGCAATTAGGATCACAACATCTAGGGTTTTCTGCTTCACAGCTCCTATTATTCTCTGTCCTGCAACACAGTTAGCTAGCAAATTTGTGTTTGGTACTAACAAAATATTATTTCAATAAAAAGAAGAAATAGGAGACTATGCAAGTCAAACACGATTATCAGAATTGTTTGTTACTATTTATAATAGCCCGAATAGCTAAAATGGCTAGAAGTATGCCTTCAGACAGTCCAGCCCTCCCAAATGCACTGAGAACCAAGTACCAGACCGAGATACCCATCTAACTTTTTTATTAAAAACCTGTATGCCTTTTTCAATCCTTCAACAAATATTACTTCCTCTAGAAAAGTTTCCATCAGCTGGTTCCATATTAGTCCTACAGTGACCATGGATAATCAAAAATACTTCTTCAAGAAAAAACACTCCAAAAAACCCTCCAAAACTATCCTAAGAAATTTGTCAGTTAAGCTACACACAAAAAGTGTGCTTTCCCTGTTTTCTGTGTAGCAATATTAAGTCATTAAAGCCCAGGGATTAACTACTTCTTGGATTTATTTTTCAATTTCTTAAGATCACTGGAATTGTAGAATCAATAAAGAGGTAGCAATGCAATGAAAGCCACATGTTGAAGCATTCTAACACCTTCAAGTCACAAAATTTACAATTAAATCTCCTTAGCAAAGTACATATACTAGCTGCAGTTAATGTCACAGCACACTGACCTATCTGCAGTATACAAAACTTTTCACTGAAGCCCACATAAGTTCTACAAGGGGAGCCAGCAAATGTCCTTTAGCAGTCATATCATAACTTCCTTGTAAGCAATTCCAAAAATTTAGCAAGTCTGATATTCAACAGCCCACTAAAGAAATACTTTTAAGAAAAAAAATACCCAAAAGCTGTCACACTGTCACCCTTAAAAAGTCTGTCTTCCTTGTGAGAAGCAGTCCATGTAACTACAGCTCCCATCTAGAGCTTTTTACTTTAATGCCTATCAGAACAACAGTGACTAATTATCTATCTGGCAGTTATATACAGACTTATTAAAACAGCTGAGAAGGCATTTTCCTCAATGCTTTCTTTACACGTATAGCAGCCAGTCTCTGCCATGATGCTGGTGCTTTTTCCAAGTTCTAGAAGTAGAATGGTCTATCTGGCAATATGTTGTTTGTCCTGCATAGTATCCTACCATCTTGATACTGACTGCCTTGAAGTACCACTTAGTGTGAAAGTCCCAATGCAAACAAGCTGTAATCCCAGAGGAAGACAAAGAAAGGACAAATGAAACAGGTACAGTCATGGGACTTCTTGGCTGCTTGGTTATAGGAGCTGTTGACTGAACCAGAAATGTCTCACCTTGATGACTACTCAATTAGGTTATTACTCTCATTACATGAGCTGTTACTGAAGTAAGCAGTGTTAGTTCAGCACTTAAAATGGCCCTTGAGAAATCCTTGAGATTTTCTCCTTGAGAAAACAGTGAAGGCCAGAAAAAAATGTTTAGTGGAAAATCAGGCCAGATCAAACAGCCAGAGAAGAGATGCTGCTGCACTTCAGAACTGCAGGTCTAATCCATATCAATGTGTATTCCCAGCAGGCACACACACACACACACCACAAACACACAGACAAACGTAGCACTGATACCATCCTGTTATCCATCTCCTCCAGCTGCTGGTATCACAGACACATGGGCCTCTGACCTCTGGTCCCACTCCTGTGACTGGCACAGCTTTCACTCACCCCTGTCTCGACAGTCACTTGGCCCCCAGGCACAAGGACCTTTTGTTACAGCTGGGAGTCCCTTGCTCTGAGTCTGAAATTTGCCTGTACATGGTCTCTGCTTCTCTGAGACTGCTCAGGTAGGCTACTGGCTTCCATGATGGGCTAAGATGAGAAGAGCTGGATGAGGGCATTATTTGGGCTCCCTCACCTGCCATTATCTGTGTTCCTCTGTAGGTATGAGCAGAGGAGCTTTTCAGTTACATGGCCCCACAAATTACAGCTAAGTGACAAACCAGATGCAACATTATTCTTTAAGAATCAGACTTACAGATAAATATCGTCCTGTTTAAGCAGCAAAGGGGAGACAAACAGATAAACTCTACAGCAGAAACCATGTGAAGAATATGAATAATAGTGAAGCAAAAGAACAGCGAAGTAAGAATTGCATTCTTTTTGTGACTATTACTGTTTCTCCCATATCCCTTTCAGATACTTTCTTGATTGTGGCCAATAACAGCTATAGTAGAAAGGCTGTTTTTACAGAGAAAAATGTAACTCTGCTAAATAATTCCATTTTTGACACCAAAAATATGAGGTCTTGACTTTCATTCAATTAAAGAACAGCTCTTAGTATTGGAATCCATTTACATCCAGAGACTTGATACTTGAGCTGAAGTTCTAAAATGCTTGATTCTCTAAGACTTCCCCAGTAGAAGTACTGATTTAAGTCTGCATGCACTTAGGTCTGTTCCCACACGACCTTAAAGCTGAGACATATTAGAGCTGCTGATGTCTCCCTCTGCTGGGCCAGCTGTAGTCACCTGACTCAGGGTTCAGAGTTCTAAACTGGCTGAAAAATTATTCTCACACACTAGGCACTCTCCCAGTTCTGTTGTTTACTGCTACTTATAATTCCCTGAACTGGCTCACAAAAGATGAGATGAGCTCCAGCACTCATTCAAAGATATAAGTGGAATAAACCGTTGAAGGAAAATGGAGGATTTGACTGTAGTTATTTCTTTAATCAGCCTGAACTGTCATAAGGTCATAACTTTTAATTCAATTTTAGGAAACGAAACACATGAATTACATGGTGTTAAGTATTTTATTCCTAAAGCAAACAAAAATGCCCAAATCACCTTTGAAGGTGCTACTTCCTTGCACTACTTTTTGTGACATGTACTTCAGAAACTTTTTCCTAAGGAGCCATTTAACAGAAGTGGTAAGGAAAAACACTGTGCTTGTCCATCTCCTAAAGGAGCTCAGTAAAACTGCTTCTGCATCAAAAATACTAAAGCAACAGCTTATCAAGCCAGAAGACAACACAGTCTCACTCCACATGAAAGAATAGTCCCAACTGTTACTAGGAAATCCACTTCCAACACAAACCTTGAGTTTGGTGACTGCTGCTAGTGAGCCTCCTACAAGCTCTACCAAACATATAGTAAAGGTATTTCTGGAGGCAAATGTTTAATCTGAGCACAGATCCCCTGAAGGACAATGTTACCTTTCTTCAGAAAGGCCCCATAATAGGTACTGTGTTCTACTGCTTTGCAGAACAGTACTGGATGGGTCAGAATTTACTGTTGATCCCATTTTAAGGAAATTACATATTCTTTTATAATACTGCCTTGCTAGTTTCAGGAGACAGGAAACTAGACCATATGAATCCTCAGCCTGAATCTATGCTTGTGCAGAAACCTATTATCATCTTCCAACAGCACAGAACTGTCCATTGTGTAGCAGGCATCAGCACAGAAGTGAACTACTATTGTTTGACTGCAATAGAACAATTTAAAATGGATGGCATAGCAAAATAATTAAGCAATCTGATGCACAGATATCACTGAAACTGTACCCATAAATAAGAATATATTTTCTCAAAGCAAGACAAATGTATTTCATGCTTGTACTGCACTTCTTGTATTTCAGTCCGTGCAGTAGTTTTGCTTAATTTAAAAAGAAAAACATTCCCCCATTGTGGTGAGAAACAGTTGGCTTCTAAAAGGGCAAATAATGTCATTGTTTCAAAACTCAGAAAAGCCATTCCTAACCAAGAAGCTATTTTCTTCCCTAAGACAGATTTTCCTCAGAGAACAAGCTCTTGGTTACTATATTCTCCTTGCTTGCTGAAGCAGAACTTCCTGACAATTATCACTAGGCAGGTCAACTCAGCTATGTAGTTTCTGATTGCCCTGGAAGCTTCAATAAGTGATCCAATCTTCCTAACACTGATTAACAAACACATTAAGGACAAATACTGAGTAACAAAACATGGAAAAAGGCTTTCAGTGTTAAAACAGACTACTTTTTAGCAACAAATGCCACAAAAAGCCCGTTAGACTTTTCAGAATCACAAAATCTTTGTTCAGCTGATGTTGCCAGGACAGCACTATTACCTAGGGCACATACCAGACACTTAACAGCGCTGTGAAGGGAGAAAGACAAAAAAAAAAAAAAAAAGACTTTCCAAACTGAGGGAACATTAAAATTAAAAACGGCTAGCTTCCTCTTCTTACCCCATGCTGTCCAACCTTCAACACCAAAGACCACCCACTGAATTCTCCCCCTCAATTTAAACCACCTCTAATTCAGTGTTTGTAATTGCTATTTGCATGTTAAAGATGCATCTGAAAACAAAGAAACACCTTATTTCATAGTTCAAACATTATCGTCTTCTCAAATTTCATGGCTCCTAACTGACAAAACAAGCATTACTTAGAAGGAATGTGCTGGAATACCAAATCTGAGTCACAAAAAGTAATTTATTCTTTCAAAATAATGTGTTGAGGGCATGTAGGAACATGCGAGTGTTTCCAGTAAAGGATATAAAGTCTTGTTTAAAATGAGAAAGTTTAGTATTCTTGCTATAATTCAATGAGTTCCGTAAAAAACAATCAACTTTGTAACTGACTTTCCTCACCCGAGTTTAAGAGCTCTTCAATTAACGACACATCACCACGAAACAGAGCCTTCTTCAATGCTTCATTCTTGTCCGCCTGCAACATTTGATCCAACTGCTAGATAAACAAAGAAAAATTAAGTCAAAATCTGGAAACTGTCTCAAGGCAGAAACAATAGCTTGGTTTCAGTATAAAAGCACTAATATTCTCTGAAAAGACATAGCATAGAAGAGGGGAAAAAGTGACGTAAAACTCTCGTTCTTCTATCTCCGTAGATCTTTCCAGGATCTACTGTAAAGCTGAAGTTTTAAAACCAATTTTTTGAGAGGTTCCATTCTCTGAATATGGAAATATCTTCTTTCTCAACAGGCCTGCTAGCCTCCCACGCTGCTCTAAGTTTTACTTACCATAATTTGATTTCAATTAATATTCTTTTTCATCTTATGACATTAGAAAAACTTTTCAACGCACTTACATACCCTTTTTTTTTTTTTGTACGTTCCACATACTGTGAAGTACAACCTTAAAATATACAACTATCAGATATGAAAGTTTGAGCTGGAGTTAAGGGACCTTGGTAACAAGCTGTCTGGCCTAATAAGGTTCCTGTCATCCTAATTCTGCAGTGACAGAGGCATTTGTAGTGCTGCATCACAAACGTTCTGGCTGAAAAAAACCACTAACCAAAAGAGCAGTTTATGCATCAGACAAGTTGCCCAATTTAAGTTTTTATCAAAAGCACTGTATATTTGTTCTCTAATAAAGCTGCAGATGCAGCTGAAAATTGCTGCTGGAGCTATATCAAGCGTACAAAACATTTACATACATTGGTAAGCAGAGAACTGATTATTCATTAGTTTCCTTAGAGACAGAAGTGGTATGAAATGAAGTTGTCCTTTATCATAACTTTTTAACTCCCATCAATATAACTTAGAAATATACAATTTTTACAGCTGCCCTCCCCTCACAGTTCCAAGCCGAGGCCAACCCCCCACTCCGAGACCGTCCGGCGATGGCTGGCAGGCCCCAGGCGCAGGGAGGCTCAGCCCCACCTGCGGCTCCTGTCGAACGACGCCAATGTCCCAGTCGCCGTCATCGCTATCGCTGCCCTCGTCGCCGCCCGCCACGATGCGGGACGAACACAGCGCGGCGGCCATGGCGGCTCCGCAAGCACGCGCGTCGCCTCAGCGCAGCCGGGTCACGTGGCCGCGGCGGCCGCTTTCCCGCGCTCCCGCGCCCCGCCCCCTACCCTGGCCCCGCCCCTCGGGCGGCGCGGGGAGCGCCGGGGGCGGGAGCTGTGCCTGGGGAGGGGGCGGCCAGCGCGGCTGCGAGCCGGGCAGGGATGCTCCGTACCGGGGAGCGGTGCTCCGTGCTAGGCAGAGCGGCTCCGGTCGGGCAGCGGTGCTCCGTGCCGGGCACGGCGCCGAGTACAAGGAATCAGTGACAGTGGTGCTGTAAGCACGTGCAGCTGTGACACGGCGCACTTGTGGCTCCGCCGCTTTGTGGGTCTGGGGAGACGCGGCAAAGCCGTGTGTGAAGTTGTGTCTGTGGCTGGTCTGTATGTGCGGATTCAAGGTAAAGGATGCGGGTTCCTGTCTTTACTTGCTGACGTCATTGACATGCTCTTTGCACGCCCTCACCTGGCAGCCGGCAGTGACGTCACTGAGGTGTGTGTACCGCAGTGTCCCAGCGCCCGAGCCTGCGGTGGGGACACTCCCTGGGAAAGCTGGACAGCGGCCGCGCGTCATGAGCCAGGCTTTCGGCCTCCAGCCTGCCCGCACAAGGCATTGCTTTAAATGTCAGAGCTGTGGTTAAAGTTCTGTCTAATGACCGATAATGATGTCTCACCCATCACAAGGTTCGTGTGAAACTCTTTGAAGAACAAATGAGGAATGACGTTCTGTATTTCATCCACAGGCATCGTTGCTCCTTGAGCTCATCTCAGACCTTGCCCCAGGTTGAAATGAAACTGAGCATCGACTAACAGAAGAGGAGTTTGGTCTTTGAGAGCAGTTACAGAATGATAAGTGTATTCCTTGTGCCCATGACACTGTAAAAATGTAATTTTGGCAAGTTAATGTTAACAAAAATTACGCTCGTCTTGATCAGAAGATGGCTGTGAAAATTTTATTATTTATTTATTTTATTTTTTGCGTAACTTTTGTTTCTTAATGTAATGCAAAGTGTAAGGCAATTTTTTATATGTTGAGATTTGCGGGTTAGCTAAAGTTATGCTTAGAACATACTAAGTGCTATAAAAACTGCACTTATTAAAAAAGAAGCCTGTATGGTCTGCATATTTCAATTGTGCCTGCTTGATGTTTTTAATTGCTGCATTTTCTCTAGTTTATTTGCTTGTCTGTTAAATATGACAGCTTGTTTGCATTAAAGTGTAATGAAAGTCAGCTTATTTTCAATGAGAAACTCTGATGTAAGAACTAGGGGAACATTTTGAATGAGCTCCCATGAGAGAAACTTGATAGAAAGGAAAACTCTCTTCTTTTTACACAGTCTCCCTAGATCAAAGGTTGCTAAAATTGACTCAACTGTAATACATGTTTCTAAAGGCTTAGCTTTATATGCTTATTTTGGATTTACCTGTATACTCTTAACCTCTGTTTAAAATATTTTGGTAATGAAGATATAATGTTTACCATGTCTAATAATTGAATGGTTTTGTAGCAATGTCAGCTCTTATAAAATAGTAAAATTTTTATTAACAGGCCTAATAGTACCTAGTATTAAAAGAAAAAAATCCCAACTCCTTTTAAAGGCTCACAGTGTAGAAGAACCTTGCAGCCAGTGTACCCAATAGCTGCTTCAAATGTGAACGAGACAATCATACAGAAGCTGGAAGCAGGTGATGTCTCCTTTTGTGTTTGCTTGGTACTGTAAATCAGACGTTGTTGATGTAGACTCTCCTACTTCTTTTTCACATTCTTCTTACTCCAGCTTGTTTGTGATCTTGAAGTCTGTTTTCATTTTTCAGCTAGGCAGACTTATTTTGGTTGACAGCATGGTGAGTCCTGACTGTCATCCGTGTTTGCCAAATATCAGTGTGTTTTTACTTACTCCTATAGGAACATTTCCCAAAATCTTTTCCTTGTTGCTGTGCAGTACTCATGTTACATGCAGGAGGTGATTATAGAATGGCTCAAGCTGAGAAAATTGTAAGAAATCCTCATTCTCAGGGAGGCTTAGTAGCTCTGGGTCTGCAGAATTGAAAAATTACCAGAAAATGTTCATCTGGGAGATGGTAAACTAACGGCTGTACCAGCTCCATGGTTAAGAGCTGTACATACAGGAATTTGCATATTTTGAAAAAGTCCCATTAAGTAGCACAAGTGATTGCAATTTAACAGGTCACATTCATGAAACACAATAGTTTATATTGTCCTGGGTGAATTTTCAGCTGGCTTGTAAATGGCTGTTGCATCTCTTATATTTAAGGTATTTTAAGGTATATTTAAGTATAAAGATGGTTACTTATTCTCTAAAAAACACTGAAGTGGTCTATGTTCTTTCTGTGTTCTGAAATCACCCTTAGTGTTAAATCAGTTTTAGTTTTGCCATCCTGAAATTTTTGTATGAGATGCTGCCCTGCAGCACACTGAGTTCATAATTATTTCAGTCATTGTTCTAATGGACTTAAAAAGATGGAAAGCATTTCATTTTATCTGTTTTGCTTATAATTCATTTTTTGTAGTAAACAAATTTATCTGGATAGTGCCTGATGTAAATTTTCAACCTGCTGCCAAACACATGAGTATAAATTACGTACAAACTGGTTTTCTGTTTGTAAAATTTATTTGCAGGTGGAAGCATTAAACCATTGTCAAAATTCCCCATACTTAGTAGGGAATTCATGGATATGATATAAACCTCAGTCCTGTTATGAAAATATCTCTTATTATGACAGTAATGTATAAAAAAACCTAGAACAAGAATTAGGATATTAAAGATACTTTCTTTTATTTTAGTGTCTCTCAGGCAGATTTTTAGCTTCTTTCTGTATAACCTAGAAACTTTAGTCTGGTGTAGCAAGTCCTGTCAGAACAATTCCCGATATTACTAGATGCAACCTCTCTATTAAAAATTCCTCATTCCTTCACTATCTCTACTCTGTTCTATGTTGTTTCGTCCCCTTAATCTTAACTGGCAGTACTCCCACTTCGTTATCATGGTGAGTACCTCCTTGTTTCAGCCTGTTGACTCTCTGCTGGTACTCAGGCAACCACTTGTAATAGTATTGCCTGTCTCTTAGAAACTCAAATGTTTGAATTTTCTAAAGGCAGTTTATAACAATCAAGTGCTGCTTTGAGCTTTCTACACCATTTACCTTTTATTCTGATATCTCACTTTGTCTTATCACTTTAATCAAGACTGAAGGTTATCCACATATATCCACAGTATATTCATATATGTAATATTTTTATTGGTTGCCACATTCTTATTTTGCTTTGACCAATTCAAAAAGAATATGGCTTCTGGGAAAGAAGACTAGTTTTGAATCAAAAGCTGGTTTTGCTTTATCATGTTTGGTGGTTTGTATTTTTTTTTCTCTTTCTTTTCTTTTGTTAGCAAAGCATACAATCTAATTGTCACTTCTTTGTACTGAATGGCCTTGCTATCATAGGTTTACCACAGGAAGTTAAGTCTTTGGTTATCTCTTACTTGTGCAGCTGCTGGAGCTGCTCACCAGTAGTCTCTGGGCATTGTGAGAACTCCCACACATATATTGTCTTCTGGACTTGTTTTGTTTGAGTTCATTAGGTCAGGATGGCATTTTATATTATGATCTATGATTCTGGCTCTCCAAAGTTATAATGGTAATCCTAAAATCTCCATTTTTCTTCTGAGAGGAACTCTTCAGCCCCTCACTTAATTCCTAGGATGTGCTAACTGGACTTTGCTACCAATTCCTTTAATCTCATCCATCTCTTCCAGCAAAGTCAGCATCTCCTTTACATCTGCTTTAAGGTCTTCTCTTCAAGAGTAATTGTGATACTGTCCACATCCCCAGTGGTATAAACTAAAATTGTTACAAATGCCAACAGTTGAGTCATAACAATATACTGTGTGGGAAAACCATTCAAAGATGTACTGTTTTCTAGCTGTCTTATACTTGCATTCTTATTCTACTCTCCAAATTTATCTGCAGAAGTGTCTACCTGTGGAAGAGACTTTTATGATAATTTAAGCTATTCTGTCATAGTTGGTCCAAGTAACAGGAAACCATAAGTCCTCCTTATTGGGCGTATGGGAGCAGGTATGCATTGGAGATCCCTGATTGTCTTTGGTTGACAGCAGACTGAACATGACCAAGCACTGTGCCCACGTAGCCAAGAAGGCCAGTGGCATCCTGGCTTGGATCAGAAATAATGTGGCCAGCAGGACTAGGGCAATGATTGTCCCTCTCTACTTGGCACTGGCGAGGCCTCAAATCCTGAGTTTAGTTCTGGCCCCTCACTACAAGAAAGACATTGAGGTGCTGGAGCATATCCAGAGAAGAGCAACAAAGCTGGTGAAGGGTCTGGGGCAGAAGTCTTCTTAGAAGTGGCTGGGGGAACTGTGGTTGCTTAGCCTGGAAAAAAGGAGGCTCAGGGGAGACCTTATTGCTTTCTACAACTGTTTGACAAGAGGTTGTAGTGAGGTGAGGTTTAATCTCTTCCCAGGTAAGAAGTGATATGATGAGAGGAATTGGCCTCAAGTTGCACCAGGGAAGCTTTAGATTAGATATTAGTAAAAATTTCTTTACTGAAAAGGTGGGCAATCTTTAGAACAGGCTGCCCAGGGAAGTGGTAGAAACACCATCTCAGTAGTGTTCAAAAGGCATATGGATGTGGTATTTGAGAATATGGTTTAGTGGTAAACACAGTGGTGCTGTGCTGTGTTAATGGTTGGATTCAGTGATCTTTTCCAACTGTAACAATTCTATGATTCTAAAGCAATGATTATTGAGCTTATAGTAAAATGTTCCTTCCCTCTGATAAATCCCTAATATTTGAATGGCCATAGTCCAGCCTCCTGTGTGCTCATATAGAAACAAGTTTTTACATAGGATCCTGTCTATGTATCTGCAGCTCTTTCTCCCTAAGTCTCTAACTACTGACATAACTCCTTCATTCAAGTTGCTGTTGCCATAGATATAACAGTT